GATGCTCTTGCTCGATAGAAACACTGTTGGAGCATCATAGAAGATGAAGAAATAGATAAAAAGCCAACAAGACATGAAAAACAGGATTTTGCACTGGTTCTTGAGAAGAAATTTTGCTGTGAAAAGAAATCTCAATCATTATTCTGCTGATCTTTGTTTCTTTTGACTAATGTGTTTGCCGACTACTGTACTAAATATATTTGCAAAAAGTGAAAAACATAGAGTAATGTTATGATCACTGTTAATGGGAAATTATTCATTTCTTCATCTGTTTGAATGGCACATTCCTTAAAATTGCAGATGATTTTTGTTCCTTGAAGAAAAGGCATATAAAATGTCAGATTCCTTGGATATTCATACAGCTTTTCTGTATAGCTAAGGCTGATTTTTTTTTTTTCTTCCCTTGTTGCTATTGAAATGTTCCCTGAAGTTTAGCATTTCAGAATTGATGAGAAAGTGAAGCAGGCTGTCTTAGAATGATTGAGGCATATTGTTAAATCTTTGTATTTGGAGGCTTTCCAGGTATTAGTTAAACATTTGGATGAATGTATACATGTAGCATAGAAGTTTGTTGAAAAACAAATGCGGTTTTTGCTTCTTGCAGTTTACTCCTTTGTTTTATAAATTCCTAAAACCTAGTTTAATTTGAACATCCCTCATACATTTCCTAAGATTTATGACAACCTGTTTATTAACCTCTACACCAGGTGTCTCAAACTTAAATTATATGGATGGCTGAATGCATAACCTAAAAGCAGAGATGATAGGTGGCTCAGAAACTTGGTGGCCGTGTGTCCAAAAACAGATCAACCTCATTTTGGACATTCTGTGCAGAATGGAAGGTAACACGAACAAGATGTACTGCAAATGTAAAAAAGGTAGAAATCGGAAGGAGCGTTGTCAAGGCAAAAGTCCGTTCAGAGTCCAGCTGGTGAATGCATACACATGGCCTTGCATTATCATGATGGAACATTACCTTTTTGCGCCGAAACTGAGTTAGACGTTTTTCCTTGACAGCAGCATCAACATGGACTAGCATCTCGCTATACACCTTACTGTCAGGGGTTTTACCTTTTTTCAGATTCTCTTTGTGAATAATACTATGGAAATCCCACCAGATACAAAGCATTATCTTTTTGTTAGTCAAATTGTGATTTGCGACTCTGATGACAGGCTCAGCAGATGCAGACTAACCCTCTGTTTGGCCTGTGTTGAAGTAAGTCCATTTTCATCACAAGTCAAGATTTGGTCTAGAATTTTGTCCTTTTTTTGATATTTGTGCAGATTGGTGCAGGCCTGAACATATCTATCCTTATCTGCTTGAGTTACCTCATGTGGCATCCAGCGATTGAACTTGTACGTCAAGTTTATACCATGTATAGTATAGCTAATGGACATGTCACTAATATCTAGCTCTTTATTCCTTAGCAAGCTCTCGAGTGGTTGAATACTTATCTTCTTCCACAAGTTCTCCAAGGCACTTCTTATCAACATCAATAGGCTGACCAGAGCACTCTGCTTCTTGAATATCATAGTCCTTGTTTTTGAACTTTTTACCAAACTTACATAGTATTATATGATACAGCAGTAGTGCCTAAAGCTGTACTCATGATTTGACGACATTCTGTAGTTGGTTTTTTGCAACAGAACTTGAAGTAAATCATGGTTGTAATCTGGAGTAAGATAGTTTCATTTCAGACACCTTGTACATAATAATAATGATATTTTTTTACAAATTTCACAGTGCTTGTTGTAAAGCAAGGATGTCAAACTCGCAACCCGCGGACCGCATGTGGCCCACAACAAATATTTTTGCGGCCCGGTCAATATATTGGCAAATAATAATATATAATAATAAAATAACATATCGACGAAGGAAAAAATGAAATGTTTACTGCTAAGTAATTAACGATAATTTATTCAGTGTTGTTAGATTACTCACAGTGAGCTGACACACACACTACTTAAATTACAAATGCGTGTGAGTAGCTTGCGTTCAGCTACCTTCGGCTTTTGGGGGACACGTGCACTCAGAACTTGTACGCATCCCCCGATAGCCTCATGTGGCCGAACTCATGGTCTCAGTTTTCCAATAATAGTTTTGTACGATATATTGGTGCATGCATGTGCACTTTGCTTTATTATTAATTATTACTTAATTCATATTGTTACAGATTTCATTGTTATTTATTTATTTAGTTTTTTTTATTTAGAATTGTAATTAGATTTGCTTCATGTTGCCTTAGCCACGCAGACGATTTTTGAAAAGACAGCTGCGTTGGAAGGTTAAAAATAGAACAGCGCATGCATTTAATACCTAATATATAAATATCTCGTAATTGCTGTTGCCATCCACAAAAATCCAGATCTTTATAGATGTTTCCAGTATATTCGAGAAATTAATTATAAAGCTTATAAAAGCCGAGAACAAACAACTCATCTCAGTAGTAGCTGTAATTCTAGCGAACTGTTTGTTTACTTAATGCTGGGATTGATTTGTAGCGATTTCGCTGTGAGATAGAATTAGTTTCTCTGTTTTGAATTGATTTTTGCTAAACATTTGACATTTTGTGATATTGTTAGAATATTTTTGAAGAAATATTTCAGCATTTTGATTTATCTCTTGTGGAAAGAATAAATTTTCGTTAACTTTTTAACGTTAACCGTGTTTATTCCAGCCCTTTGTATTCAGCATGTCTATATAAAAACCAAGTGGTAGTAAAATTAAACGAAAAATCGCTGACGAACATAGAATATTCCAAGTAAAATGGGAATTAGAATATTTTTGCTGTGAAATAAAAGATAAAATAATCTGCTTGATATGTAATAATACTTTTAATGTATCAAAGTTATATAATATTAAAGGTCATTACGAACAACACAAATCGAAATATAACAGTTACGAAGGATTAATGAGAGAAGAAAAGTTAAAAGAGCTCAAGTTAGGAGTGAAAAAGCAACAGTCCATGTTTAGTAAAGTATTGCAAGAAAGTGAAGCGGCGGTACATGCAAGCTACGTCTTGTCCGAGTTGATAGCTAAACATTCGAAGCCTTTTACTGACGGTGATGTCATCAAGGAATGCCTAATGAAAGTTGGAGAAATTGTTTGTCCTGGAAATGTGAAGGCTTCTCAATCAATTTCATTGTCTCGAAATACAGTTGCGGAAAGAGTTACTGATTTAGCCACGAATTTAAGTGATCAGATCAAAGCAAAATCATCTAGTTTCAAAAGTTTCTCCATTGCCTGTGACGAGAGCACGGACATTAGTGGCAAAGCTCAATTAGCAGTGTTTTTTCGTTCTTGTGACAAGAATTTTAACATTTTTGAGGAATTACTGGAACTAATACTGATGCCTGGTACTACCACAGAAGAAGATATATTTACTTGTGTTTTTGGACTTCTGCAGAAATACAATCTACCTTTGGCAAAATTAAATTCTGTAGCTACAGATCGCGCTCCATCAATGACCGGGAAAAACAAGGGCTTCGTAGCATTACTAAGAAAAAAACTTAGTGAAATTCACGGTTCAAACATTCATCATATGCATTGTATTATACATCAAGAAGTTCTATGCACGAAAGTAATAAATATGGAGAATGTTTTGTCATATATAAAAAAAGTTATAAATTTTATAAGATCTCGAGGTTTAAATCAGCGTCAATTCACTGCTTTCTTAAGTGAGTTAGATAGTGAATATTCAGGTTTGTCCTACTATACCGAGGTATGTTGGTTATCTTGCTCCAAGATTCTCAAACAATTCTGGGATTTGAAAGAAGAAATATGTCAGTTTTTAAAAACGAAAAATCAAAACGTAAGTTTGTTTTACAATCCAATATGGATACAAGATTTATCTTTCTTGATTGATATAACCAAACACTTAACCGATTTAAATTTATCATTACAAGGAAAAGATCATATCATTACAAACATCTTTGACATAATTAAAGCATTCATATGTCAACTAGTTCTTTGGGAAAAACAACTTAAAAATGAAGATTTGACGCACTTCCCGACGTGCAGCATGAACAAAATCAAGTTTAGATGATACTTGTTCGTATCAAAAATACGCAGAAAAAATTGCAAATTTAACAACTGAATTTGAAACGAGGTTTAATGATTTTAGTTCCCTCGAAGACAAATTTTTTTGTTTTCTTCGATTTTCTCAATAAGTAGTGACTCATTACCCAGCCATATGCAAATGGAGGTGATCGAGATTCAATGCAACTCAAATTTGAAAGCGAAATTCATTGAAGTAGGCGTGCCTGAATTTTACAAATATTTACCAGCCAGGTTTGAAAATACTCGAAAATTCGCATATGAAATTATTTCCATGTTTGGTAGCACATGTTTAGTAGCACTTTCAGTCATGAAACGTAATAAGTTTCCTATTAGAAACTGTATTAATGATGCTCATCTTGTGTCAGTGTTGAAAGTTATCACTGCAAACAAAATTTCTCCCGAAATAGGAAAGATAATAGCAGAGAAGAGATGTCAAGTATCAGGACGTAAACTTTAAATTTTTCTTGTTCTTTTCTATATAAATATATATATATATATATATGTTTATATTATTGTATTATTCAAAATAAATCTACCTTTCTATGAATATTGATTTTTTTTTCGGCCCACCTAAAGTTAAACCTTGTTTGTTTGGCCCAAGTGTACCTATGAGTTTGACATCCCTGTTGTAAAGCAAATCTCTTTCTTTCAAATGCTAAAAATTATTTGAGAACAGGATAGGATTAAACATGGCAATATGAACTGTTTGCGCAAACAATATTTGTGGTAGCAGGAAACTTTCATTAAAACCCGATGTATTTACAAGAAATACATAATGGAAATGTATTTATAGGCCATGTAAAATTGCTTCAGGAGACACAAATTGAGATTACTGCTCTGCAGCATGAGTAAAATATAAATGCATTTGATGGTTTGAATTTTTATTAAATAAAAAAATTATATAGGATAATTCTGTTCTAATATCATTTGTTTTTTTAAGGATGGACTTATAGATGGAAATCCTGTGTGGGCTGTGATATATTATTGTTTGAGGTGTGGTAAAATTGATGCTGCTGTCAATGCTTGTAAGAATGCCGGGTAAGTATTCTTCTATTTTGAGCCGATAAAATGTTGCAAAAAGATAATAAAAATAAGTATATTTATTTATTTACATTGTAGAGTAACTGTGTTTATCAAAGCAGTAAATGTAAAAAATGTGCAGTGCCCTCACTGGGATTCGAACTTTGGACCTTCCAATAACTAGCTGGACATTCTTTTCAGTGAGGCCATGAAGACATGTGGTAAAGAAGGAGAGAAACCTTATAATTCTTCATCCTTTAAGGGCAACTGGGAAAGAGGGATCCCAGCCTTCAAATAATGGTGGTTATGAATTACTGTCCACCACACATTTTAGTTTGGGTGCTACTGTTGGAGTCACATAAAATTTTTCAAAGCCATGAAACTGAAAAAATTTTTAAAGCCATTGCCAGAACTTGAACTCTAGACCTTCCAGTTGCTAGTGGAATACGCTCCAATTACACCATGTGGCAAAGAAGGGGGAAAACCTTACACAATATTTATTTTAATGCTTAGTGCTTGAAAATTACAAAAATAATTTCCTTTTTCTAAGTGATAAATCTAAGTAAAAATAATTTCCTTTTTCATCTCTATGTTCTATTCATTGGATTGTATCTATCATCCTTGCGTAACTTTTTGTTAGATGTAATTATCAGATCTAAAAATATGCTTGAGATATTATCAGCTCTTGCTAATTTTATTGTTTGCATGTCAGTGGGGTTCTTAAAAGATTTATAAAATTCAGGATTATTCTACAAGTACTAAACACAGTAATGTAAAGGCCCTTATACATGTACTTATTATTCCTTTGTCAGTTTTGTCTGAGCCTTGACTGAACTAACTTGTGTGTACAGAATGATTTTATCTCTGTGGTGCTCTTTTATTTTATGAACTTAATAGTGATGAAAACCTATTAATCAACAAACAAAATAGATATAACTTGATACTGAAGCAAAAGCCGGTGGAATTTACTAATATGCAATAATAATTCATACAGATTCTGAATTTATGAAAGTCATTGTCCACTGAGTATGATCTAAATTTTATCTTAATCTCATATAAAATCTACAGTTGTCATAATCCATTTTTTATAATGTTATTGTTAATTATGTAGCATGTGTTATCAGTAATTATCATTTGGCAGAATTTTATTTAAAATAAGGTAAACATTAATGGTTTTAAATTGATTATTATTTAATTACTTAGGAGTTCTTTTAAAGCAGTTTACCTTTTTGCAGTAATCAAAAACTTTCAAAATTTTAAAAATTGTTATCTTTCCCCCTCCCCCCCAAAAAAAACCAGTTTTACAACTTGTTTTAGTGATATTTTGATTTCTGTGTCATGTGAAAGTTGTATTATTCTGGAAGAAATCAGCATTATTTTAAATAATCAATTAAGTATTTAATTTATGAAGAATTATTATAAACTGAATCTCCTCTTTAAATACCAAAATCAAATCTTAATGCTTTTCTGTTAGTCAGAAATTTTAATGCTAACTCAGAAATAGTTAAACATTTCAGCTCAGATCTTTGGAGTTACACTTTTCTATATGACGTCCATTGGGATCTGCCAGTATTTTAAGTAATGGCTCACTGCAGTTCTCTTAACTCTTGAATTATTTTGCATATTTGCCAGCTGGTTTTACTAATTTTAATTACTCAAACATCAGATTTATATTAATCATGATTTTATTGCTATTTCTTCAGTGAATGACGACTACAAGCTGAAATATTCTAGAATTTTATTTATTCTGTGTTTTATGCATAAAAAAAATTATAATTTCTTTAAATGAATTTAAAATAGTTAAGATATCATTTAAAATAGTTAAGATATCATGAGCGCTATCTCCCTAAGAGGAGGGATGCCTTCACAGAGGGCATACTAAGGGAAACTGGCTTTATATTCACATTACACATGGAGAAAATTTGCCAATCTGTTTGCTAGGGGTCACACAACCAGCATTTGGCAGTCTTAACTATTCAACCATTGATGGGACTTCAGGAAAATATTTTCTTAAGAACTTTCAGGAAAAGAGGTTGCTTTAAAATTTCATTCATTTGCAGATAAAATTTATACTAGAAATAATCTGTTATGTCAAAAATTAAAAATTTGAATGTAATATAATTGTCAATATACATGAAAATAGGTTTTGAACAAATGTATATAGCTACAACTGTTTTATAGAACAATTTTTTAAAACTTACATTTTAAATTTTTGTGACTTAATAATAATTATCCGTATAGCTTTTATTAATGTATTATTTAAAATAATGTAAAACTATGTATAATAAAACCTGAGCAACCATCATCTCCTAATGGTAACCATTTCTGAAAATGACCAGTATTTTTTGTAAAATAATTTTAAAAGAAATTATATTGCAATCTTAAAAATGTTTTTAAATTCAGATATTTGAAAATATTAACAAAAAATAACACAAATATTTTGGTTCTGTTCTCAAGTAAATGTTGTCATGTCACAAAATGAAATCTTTACTCTTTTTGAATCTTATTTCTTTTTGCCTTACCTAATAAGTAATTTCCTAATAAGTAATTTTTGCCTTACCTAATAAGTAATTTCAATTTTAAAAGTTCCCAGATTTGTTTCTGCAGTTCTTTTCTGAGTGCAGAATAGTGTGGACAGAGCATCTAATCATTAGAAAAATATATGTTACTATTTAAAAAGTTAAAAGGAGAAATGTGTAGAAAGAGGTTTGCAATACATATTTTTTCATTATGTTTAAATTTAATTTTGCATGCAGAGCTTGCCTGCAAAAAAAATTACAGTTAAAAATTTTGCAATCAATAAATGAAAGTTTTTTTTTAAATAGGGTATTAGAAATAATTGCTTAATTAATTAAAATGTATTTAATTTCTCCTACTTACAGTATTAAAAGATACTTATTTTCAAATTTTATTAAAATTTAGATAAATTAATTTTTTGAATGATTTTCTTTGCTGCACTCATGAGCAACTCACTTTTATAATATAGAGGATCATGGCCAGCAACAAGATTTTATGTATCTGCTTTAGAATTCAAAGGGCACCTTTTACTAATGTGTAATTTTGACTTTAAGTCCATGTTCAAAATAGTTTGGGGGGGGGATATTTGAGCAATAAAATTTTATTCTCAAATATATACAGCCATATACTGTAGAACCAAAGTTCATGAAACTGGTGCATTCTGGTAACCTTTCCATTGAAACCATCTCTTAGCCAGTCCGTAACCCTTCTTAGTTTAACTAAATTTGGGAATATGGATGTTTATACGTCAGTGCACAGCACATTAAATTATCATCATGGAGTCATTTCAGAGGTAGATATTTATTCTACTTCTGAGGAGGGATTTGTCTCAGAGTTCCCATATCAAAAAGTGTGTGCTACCAGCCAGATCAAGATGCATATAAAGAGGGTCAGTTGATTGATACAAAAACAGGGTCCTGACCTTCAGTTTGCCTGATCTGCTCAAAAAAATGTAAAGGCCATGTATTTGAATAGTCCTGTAAGCCTGTACATTGCCATTTCTATTGCCAAAGTTGTGGCCACTTAAAGATGTCATGGAAAATCTAGATGTGCACAGTACTACGGGAAGAGTCACAACAGTGATACATGCAATATTGTACCATTGTGCATAAATTCCAAAAAATGATTACATGGCTTTCTCTCATTCCTGTTCCAAGTGGAAGACAGAAAAGCCATCTAGAAAAGTCACGAGAGCGCCACTTACAGGCTATAAAAGTAACTAGGGACATCACTCGTGTTGAAGCTAGAAGATTGGTGACTAATATACAAGTACTCCCATTTGCTGATGCTTTAAAGTCAGTAAAATCAATGTGAAGTAATTAGCAATGCTGGCTGGCATATTGTTGGGCCCAGTTTCAAATCCTAGAGAGGGTGTGAATGCTTTGAAGTATAGTATTTGGGCAATGCAGGTGCTATTAAAATACTAGCGAACTGAAGTCCTTGCTTGTGGTTTGGTGGTAGGGGACGAGAGATGGGAGACCCTCATATCCATTCCCTGAAGTGCTGTCCATCGAAAGTAGGGCACAGCTGCATAATTAGTATGGTAGAACTATACCTGTATGATCAGTGCCCATTTTACCTGTGTTTGTAAGTATTCATTATCAGAAAATTAGTAGTGAATTTAAAAAAATGAAGGGGGGAGTACATTTAATACACAAAATGAGAATTAAATACTGTAGCTCAGGCATCTGAATCTCAAGACATTCGAAAATATGGTCTCTGATTTAATGTTATGAAAGTTGAAGAGACTGGAATGTACAAATCTTCCTTTCTGTGCCTTGCAAAGAAGCAACATTGGTGAGAAAAATATTCATAATGGCCACAGTTATTTATGGAACTGATGTTTTCACAATGGTCTTGCAAATATTAAAAACCTAACCAATGTCATCAACTTCACATTAGAAAACATTAAGCTTACAAAGTATTTTTCTGCAAGAAAGGACGATGTTAATGAATATGTTTGTGCATGTATAGATCTTCTGACCTAAGAATATAAGCTTCATTTTTTCTTCTGTGATACAGATAATGCACTTGAAACCATAAGTCATCTGATCCCAAACTGTACTCGAAAAAGCTTTTAGGGCTGTTTCTTATGTTCAGCATGCATTTTAATCTTTGCATGTGTTCAAGATATCTCTCTTATGTTAGTTTCTAAGTTCCGTTAAAAATATTATTATGAAAGAGAATGTTAAGTTACATGTGTATTAATTCTGATATTGAAGAGAGATCCAGGCTTATCAGTGCATCAGATTCTTCCAAATAATGAAAATAATAAATTAATATGTAACATTGTTACTTGAAGTAAAAATCAATTTCATCCTTTAGAAATATATTCCTGGTAAATACTTTTATAGCATTGTTCCATTTTGAGTAGCCTTTTCCGTAAGTTTGAGAATTTTACCGAAATTATTTATCTGGTATTTTCTTTGCTGTCATACCTCATTTTATCTACAGAACTATCCACATATTTGACTTTAAGTCGTAAAATCAAATTTTGTCATTCATTCTTTTTCTCTTCCAATAATTCTATACCTTATTATTTGATTAGTCCAAAGTGCTTTGTCCTTGAGGGACTAATGTTTTCATCTTGCATTAAATCACTCTGAATGTTTGTTTCACTTTTCAAACTTTTGCCACCAAATATTATCGCCCTGTATTATATTTGAAGAAATTAAATAATGAAGAATCTACATAAATGTATGCATGTTTCTCACATTATGATAAAAACAGTACCTAGAGCCATCAAATTTTTAATGATGTAATCCTACTTCGAATATGGGCACATCTAGAAGCCCAAATTTGGAATTTGTTTTATTACCAATCTCATATTTTGTAAAACTGTAACGAATATTTGATTAACAAACTTAAAGATTTCAAAGAGAACAATGACAACGTTGTACATAAAAAACACTTTTATCTCGGGAGATTGTGTTTTGGAAATTCTAAAAATATGCTCATTTAAAAATAATTTTGCGATATTGCTGTTGAATTGAATTTTATGGTTTAAATGTGAAGCACATGATATTTAATAACTAAAGGTAACACACAAAATGTTTAAAAAAACGTCCCTTTGGACGTGATTTAAAATCTGAAAGCTTTGAGATTTTTTTTATTAATTAATATCTCTGATTTTAGCTACTGTTTTTATATATTATTTATTTATTTATACATTAATAGTGATTGTCACCCAGATTTAATGTGAAAACTTCAAATAAGAAAATGAAATAAATGACTAAAATTTAAAGATTGGATTTTAAGTAATAGTTAATTCACTGCATATATCAATGAAATAATTTTTTTAAGCTTTCTACAAAATTTAATTTGAATTTTTTTAAATAATAGTCAATCTGATTAATCTGTAGACTTTTAAAATTTGAAAAAATATACAAATACCTCAATTTTTTAGATAATTAATTTTAATTGCTATATATTATTGTAAATAAATAAAAAAAGGCCGGTGGCTAAAATATTATTTGCTACAGATATTTTAGCATTTTATTTTAATTATTTTATTTGCTTTGAATCAAAGAAATCGGTAATTTATTCTTAACTAAGTGAATAGGTTTAAAAGAACTGTTCAACTCAAACTCCAAAGGTATACTTTAATTTAGCTGGAGGTTACCGGAGCCCAGCTCCAGTAACTGTTAGTTTTCAAATAAAATAATAATTTTAGCTGAATCCTATATTAGATTAGTTCTTATATTTTAATTTGTTAGCTAACTGTTCATTATAAATTTAACTTAATTTAGTAATCTTTTAATTTATGTCTGCTTTTACTGTATTTTGTGATTAATTATTCATTGTTTTATTGTTGCATTTATATATAAGTTTTACTAATGAAATATTATTTCTTTCCTTTCTGCCTCTTTTCATCATGAGGTTTGCTCATTCCAGAATTAATATAGATTTTGAGCGGCAAGCAGTTTTACTATAAAATATAAAATTCTATGAATGGAAGTATAATTTTTTGCCTGCATTTTGCGACATAAGGAAATGCTGCATTTCAATTATGGGATCTTTGTACATGTTCTCAAATTAACTTGATACAAGGTATGCAAGAGATGTAAAACTGCCCCCCCCCTTTTTTTTTTTTTTTACTGATTATGCATGTCTAGTTTGCTGCTATTTTTGTATCAGGATATACAACAGTGCAAAAGTATGATTTGTCCATGAAATGTGTGACTTTCAGATCACCGTGTATTATTTCGTTGTGAGTATATGTATTATTTCTAATGCATGTTTTCTTCTTTTCTCAGTGATAGTTTAAGGGAGTTTATTCCATTCCTAGTAGAATATGAAGAAAATGAAGGCACAAGGTATATCTGTTAAAGCTTATTTTCTAGATCATCATATTCAATCTAAACTGTATATGATTATTAAATTAAAAGTAGCTTTCAAAGAATTTAACTTTGAACTTTGTTTAATTATAACACTTTAAATTTGCATAATTTTTTCATTAACAGCAAAAGATGATGTTTTGTATGTCAGCTATTGAATTAAATTTAACCCCTTAACTGCCATGGCCAAAGGACAAGATTCACTCCCCAGTGCCACCGTTTTTTACACAGGCGTGTTATGCGATATATTAGGGGAAAAATAAGTGCTGTCTGAAAACTGTTTACTTTCACAAAATAAAGAATAAAAGAAAAATGAAAGTACAAAATTTAATGTTTAGAGTAAAAGTGTAATGATGTAAGCATAATAAAAATGTTCCAAAAAAGTCGAGTTTCGATCAAGTTATTTTTAGACCAGCAAAGTGTAATATCAGGTTTCAGTGCTATACCTTGTAAAATCGGTATACCTAAAAAAACATACTCTATTTCTTCTGAATTGGTTGGATGTCATAGGCAAATTCTACATATCAAGTTGTACCCAACGTCGAGCATCTTTTAGAGAATAGTCACAATCCTCTAGCTGACGTAATAATATCATATTCTGAGGTGTCCGATCCTGAAGATGACGGAAAGTTATCATGTATTTTACTTTCATCACTGTCAGTGTTGGATATGTGATACTTCCGCCTGTGCACGCACATAACGGATTGAACTGATTACGTAAGTTTTAACCGCGTGCTCAATGATTTATGATGTAACTAGTGTTCTATTTTTAGTTTAGTTTGTTAATGAATGCCTTAGGAAATGGATGCGTAGTTTTTGATCTCTTGTAATAACCTCTCTTTTATAACTTGGGTACAGATTAAAGTTTTAAAAAGCTGAACCTGTATGTATTTTTTGGATACACCTGAATGAAGAACCCGGTGATTCAGGGTAAGTGCTATTTGCTACCTACTGTTGGAATGCTTTACGCATGGATTAATATTGTCTATTGAATTGATGCAATATTAATTTATCATCCTGTGCCGAGACGAAAGTGAATTAATCACAGATTGATCTTAATGAATTTATGTATTTTGAATTTGAAAGGCACTAATTGAATTATTTAAGATTTTATATGTTATATGTTTGATTCAGTAAACATGTCAGTAGAAGGCATTACTAAAGAAAAAGAGAGGTGGTTTGAGAACGTCCATTACCAGAATTCTTAAGAAAATAGAATTACAACCAGATAAGTCTTCTGTTGATATAAATTTGTTAGAAAAAGACTAAAACTCTTGAACGATAAGTTTGAATCCCTTAAGATAGCTGATTCTGAAATCGAAAGTACTTTGAAACCAGAAAAATTCGATGAAGAGATTCAACTAAGAAGAATATCGCGAAAAGAATTCTGTTGTGGAAATTTAGAGCGAAAAAAAAAAAAAACGAATTCCCCAAAAAACTCTACTGTTATTGATACAAATCTATCTAATTCTCAAATAGTTAATGATTCATCGAAATGGAAGTTTAAGCTTTCTAAAATAGAATTTAAGTTGTTCGGCAGTGATATCAAAGAATGGTTGTCATTTTGGGCACAATTTGAGAAGATACACAACGATAATGAAATCGCGATGGAGGATAAATATCAGTATTTATTACAAGCTACAAAGGGTTCAAGAGCGTGAGAACTTGTTGAATCATTTCCGTCCACAGCTGATAGTTGTGAAAACGTAATACAATGTTTAAAGGCGAGATTTGGCCGAACTGACATGTTAATTGAAGTGTATATTAGAGAAGTTCTTTCATTGATGATGAATAACGCAATCGGTAAAAACCTTAACATGCCTCTTTTAAAATTCCGATAAGATTGAAACTTATTTAAGGTCTTTAAATATGTTAGGTGTTTCAAGCGCAAATTGTTCTTCAATATTGTATCCGTTGATTGAATTTTGTTTGCCTGTCGACATATTGAGAGTTTGGGAAAGAAATTTGAATTCCATATCCTTAACATCTAAAGAAGAAACTGTTGATAAGTTAGATAACCTGATGAAATTTTTATGTCATGAGATTGAAAGCGAAGAGAAAGTGCTTCTAGCACAGACCAGATTTAACCGTGAAACCGAAATTGAAAGCAAAATTATTTCACCAGCGTCAGCACGACGGGAAAGATTTACTCCGACAGCTGCAGAGTTATGTAACGCTTCGGATATTAGAAAAAGAAACTTGTGTGTTTTGTAACAAAGCACATATGAGTAGCCAGTGTAGGTATGCAGATAATTTGCCTTATGAAGAGAAAAAGCAAATGTTGTTAAAAAAGGGTGCATGTTTCAGATGTTTAGCAGTAAGAAAGCATATTTCTCGATTTTGTGAAATGAAAGTACCTCCGTGTGAGATTTGCAGTAAGGGTCATTTTAAATTAATGTGTACTGAAAAATGTAATTCTGAAAATTCAAACCGATCGCTCCAGGTTGAGGAGAAACAAATCAAAAGTTAGGACTCTGCTTTATCTAACAAAACAGCTACTCGTAAAGTTCTCTTGCAAACACTTATTGTTGGTCTTAGGTCACCTTACTTTCGAATAAGAATAAAACAAAATACATAAGGGTACTAATTGACTCAGGTAGCAGTAAATCTTACTTGTCAAATTTTGCAATAATGAAAATGGGATATGAATGTATTGGTGCAGAAATTTTAACACATAGTTTGTTCAGTGTTATAGAAACTACAGAAACACATAAGAGATATTTGATTCGTCTTAGTGACTTTTCGGATAATTATCAATGTCATTTCGATCTGTTAAATCAAGAAAAAATTTGTTCCCAAGTCCCAAAAATACCGCGTGGTAAATTTATGATTGAAGTTAAGAAATATAAAATTTTCTTGTCCGATTTGAATGATAAAGTAGATCTGCAGTATCAATTCTCTCCTGACATGATTCATGGACTCGCAAGGGCTGATGTCGCAGGTAAACTGTATACCGGAAACATAAAACAGACAAACAGACTCCGGTCTAGTCTTGGTGGAAACGCGGCTTGGATGAACACTAATGGGTAAGACTGATACGATCGAAACTTCAGATAGCACGAATAGCATAATGTCGCTACATGTAAACGATGCAAAAATTTCAGACTTATAGTAACTTGATACACTTGGAATTTTTGACCCTGGAGAGAAGGGAAGTCGAAAAGAGCACTTGAGATGGCAGCTAAAGAACATTTTAACAGAAGTGTAAAATTAGATGTCGATGGAAGGTACGTTGTAAGTCTTCTGTGGATACAATGCCATCCTCCTTTGCCCACTTGCAAAAATGTTGCAGAACGAGGGCTGTGTTGAGTGCTATTTGCTGACCTAAAGTAAGTGCTATTTTGCTTACCTACTGTTGGAATGCTTTATGCATTGATTAATATTGTCTATTGAATTGACGCAATAGTCAGACATATTCGTAAAAAAAGCACCTATTACTAAGAGTAAATGAAAAACGGAAGACACAGAATAAAAATGTATGTTTTACTCAACAGAAACACGAGCATAACCGCGCAGTCATTATTTATCATTTCAGAAACATTCCTGTCTCTTCTCTGAAATAGTGTCTTCCTTCGCATACTCTGTCAAGGTCATTTTGGTGTTGCATTCCAAAGCGTTGTGAATAATTTTACTGGCTGCTGCGCAAAGCAAATGATAGTATTTCGGAAGGGAGTATATATATATATATATATATATATATACGCCCGCAGTAGTTAAGGGGTTAAAACTACTAACAATAGCTGTGTTGGAAAAAGCAAAAGAAAACTGTATGTTATTACCTTATAGAACTTTTTTTGTTTTATGTCCAGGTTGAAACCAAATAGTGAATCTCAAATCAATCTGCAATATCGTCGCACTGTACGTTCCAGTACTGATCCATTCAAAAGGTATACATGCATTCATTCCAAGTTTTCTTTGTGACTGAGTTGTCTATCTGATTTATACTAATCATATGACTGTGTTGTCTATCTGATTTATACTAATAATATGACTGTGTTGTCTATCTGATTTATACTAATAATATGACTGTGTTTAAACCACTATGCTGGTTGGTAAAGTAAATAGCACAAAAATACTAGATTCTAATATGATTTAATGTGAAAAATTAGTGACTAGTGTTAATTATCATTTATTTCAATAATGTATAGCAGCATTAACGGGGAACTAATAGTTATATCTGAAGCCCAATTTTTGTTAGAAGGGGGTTAAATTGAATAGGTATTTTGAAATTTCTATTATATATGTCATACAAATAGTAGTTTGTATTTGACAGCCATTTGCAAAATCACCACTTCAAAAGAAGATATCCTCCTTGTGTGCTTTGAGATAAATACAGCCCTAAACTGGGATTTGAATATTTGTTAAGCACCTATTCTATTGGTCAGTCTTTTACAGGCAGAGGCAGAATAATTGTATTAAAAATCTGAATCAAATATAATTTATGTATAGCTGTAATATTTTTAATTAAAAAAAATGATGGATGTAGTGTTAGTTTATATAGTAATTAATATAACATAGCGTAGTGTGGAATATTTTTAAAGTTAATTGACACAAACTCTAGAAAGTGTTATAGTGTTTCTATATGTGCTACATTAACAATATAGAATGTACTAATCTGATGTTCAACTTCATTTTCACTTAAAAAAGATCCAAACGAAATGCTTATAATTGGCTACTGTGATTTTATCTTGCATATGAGTGAGGTTTTAAATCTTTCTGCAGTAAATATTTTTTAAAGTAAACCTGAAAGAGAAATGAGTTTGAAGCTTCCTATGAGCTAAGGAATATACACATGTTGTTGTTAGCAGTAATGCTGACCACCATTATTCTTTTGATGCCTTATATTTATATTGTCTAGATGGTATATTTTATTTGTATTTTTCCCTTAATATTTCATCTAAATCTGAAGTCCTAGCTATATTTCAAAAATAAATTGTGAAAAAAGTAGGAACACAAAGTTTGTAGACACTTTTTCACTAGCTTTTTAATTGAATGCTTATGTTTTACTGAACTTGTTGTCCAAATTGGTTGAGATTAAAATAAGTTTTGCAGTCTATCAAATACCTCGTATGTATCAATCAATAATGTGGTGTCAAGATGTGGTACCCCCTTGTCAAAGTAAAGCTACCTAAATGAGAAACTTGTCACTGGCTGAACGAATAGGCAATTTTGTGGTCATTACATTCTCTAGATCATTGTAGTCCAACCTTTAATCACCCGAGGCCCAATCAAGATTTTAGTATAGGAAAGTACGTTAAAGAAAGAAAACAAATTGCGTATAACTCATTGGTTTAAAATACCACTTGCTGTCAAGAAATCAATGTGATGATTGGCACTGTTTTTCTGATGCAAGTTTATCAGTGTACACTGTAACTTCAGTAAGTCAAAATCTTAGGCTTGATTACAGTGAAGCACTTTCAATGTGATTTTTCATTTTTATGTAATTTGCTTGAGAGCAGAAAAAGAAGTTTCACATATGTGTGTACTGCCAAACAGTGATAACATTTGAGGAGAGAATTTAAGCAATTTGGGGAAACATTCTTTAGTGTCCAGAAATTTTTAGGGACATCACACTTTTTAGTGTGGTAGAATTGGTCTGCCTAGAGATCACAAATTCCCATTTGAAAGTCATAGAACACATCACTCACTTCAGTCTCCATGAGGTTGTTTAACAGTGCAAGTTTTGATTTTAGGGAGTCAGGGAATCTGTCTTGGAACCCTTTCTTATACTAATTATTATTTCATGAAATATACTAAAATTTGTGTCATTTTCTTTGTCTTTCAGCTACTGGCAAGATGGGAAGTATGCTGTCTTATTTGCCTTCAGTGTAATTTGCATTTCATCAAGTTTGCAGATGCCCTCATTATGTCCTTAAAGCTGGGAGATATTTTGTTTCTGCTATGTAGCTTCAGTTTTAAAGCATTTAGATGAGATGTTAAATCTGTCAGAATAGCAAGATTATTTTGAAACTGGATTTCTTCCAATTTTTCTTGATACTTATGCCCAATGTTTTCATTTCTGAGAAAAGCAAGAATTTCATTCTTCAACCTCAAAAATTGTTGCAGACAATTTCCAGCACTTAGCCAGAGCACTTCATAATACAATAAAGTGTCATTGTATACTCAGTTTCCAGATTGTCCAGGAATGCAATAAATGCTCTGTCTATGAGCTTTATTGCCTCCTATTATTAAATTTCCATTATTTACTTTACAACAGTTTTCATCGTCTCACTGGAACTTATAATTTTTCCATGGAGAACTTCCTGATGGATAATGCAGTGGGAAAACAAACAGTGTATGCATTTTTCATTACACAGTCCTACTAAACCAGTTCTATAACCAACCATTCCTTTAACTCCATCTGGTGCAATACCAGAGCTCTTCCAAAAACCTTCACATTTAGAATGGCATTATCCCGCTTGTTGACTATGTCAGTACTTTTAGTGCTTGTTTTAAATTATTGCAATTCCAACAGTTCTTGATGAATTTCAAATTTTTTGTTTATTGTTCTAACAAGATAAGAAGTTGGCTGATGTTGGCCATATTTGTGCTGTCATCTAGAGCAGTGCTCCGCAACCGGTGTGCCGCGAGTAGGATATAGGTGTGCCGCAATCAAATACATGTATTTGACATTTTGCAATTTTTTATCATGTATTTAATACACAATGACAATTTTTTTCCTTAATAATGTCTATTTTAAATGTTTTATATATTTCACTGTTGTGTGTGTGATTGTAAGTGTGTCAGCATTTGAATTTTTCGGCACTTCCTTGAAATCGGAACCTTTGGTGTGCCCGAAATTCCAGAAAGATTTTTTGTGCGTCGCAGGTGAGAAAAGGTTGCTCTAGAGAAAAGGTTGGATCTAGAGCTAAAGCGGAAAATCTACATTTTTCCAAAATGTTTTTTGAGAGTACCTGAAACTTCACTATCTATTTCATAAATTCTTCTGCTTACTGTCTGAAGAACACTTTTTCAAAATTTTTAGACATATTATTATCTCCAAATGAAGATTCCATTTTTACAGCATATCTTTTAATGAGCTCACCCTCCATAAAAAGACGTTTTACTTTTAGCTAACTCTAAACGTATTTCATAAGAAGCCTTCAAAACAGGGTGTTTTATAGTTGCTGAAAGAAATTCTCCTGTCTAGTTAGTTTCAGCTTCATATCATTAAACACACAGCTCCTGGCACTTCCCTCTTATTGGTTGTATTTTTATTTATGCAAGCTAGTATAGTGCCTGGTCACATTATACTCCTTCAAAATGATCCCGCGAACGGGCAGGCTGCATGGGCGTTTTTGTGGTTTTCCTCATGTGTAACGTGTATACGAACCAGTTTCCCTTAGAAAGTCCTCCACGAATGCATCCCTCCCCTTAGGCAGATAGCCCTCGTGTGCTTTGCCATAATTAAATACACCAACAGCTTCAAAATGTTTAAGACTTGGTGGACAGAATACTGTGGTTTTCCATTATGTTCAACAAAAAAGTAACTTTCCTGCCACTTGGACTAAAATTGCCATTTCTTCAACACACTGTTTCTTTAGTTCCACCATTTCAGGTAGAATTGAATGAAAGTGAAAATCAAAGCATGCATGCCACGGATTATAACAGTTGAAGTGTGAAGCTTAATATCAAGGTGGCCATTATAGGAGAAGTGAAGATTGTAAGGTGCTGCTATCACTGGATATGAAACTGCCATCTGATGCCAATGTCAATGGTTTTCTGCTAAATATGCTTTTCTATGTTCCCTGCATAGCAGCAGGAAGAAAATAATGTTTAGCACTGGTCACTTACAGTTACCAACACTGTTATGGCATTTTCTTGAATTTTACAAATACTGCCAGCTAGTTCACAAACTAATGCCTGTTTTACACAGCTTGTTTTGCACAAATGTGATTTATTGTTATTTAAAGCAAGAAAGGTGTATCATATTTTCCAAATGTTTAATTAATATTTTTTATCCAATAAGGAGGAATACAAATGAACAAAAAGAAATAAGAGGCCCATGGGTCAAACTATACGGCTGTCTAGATATTGCCTTATTAGGTTTCTTTTCATGGGAGTGTACTAAAGGTTAACTTATGTACCATGGATGCTAAGTATTGCAGAACTCAATCAATTAAAGCTATTTTTCAATAATTTTGAAACATATTTGAATTCAAATATATTATTGGTAGAATGCTATTCAAACAAAGAAAGATTTCTGTTTTTTCTCTGCAGTTTATAATATTTTTTGAAATTTTTTAAACTAGCCTATAATATATTAAAAATACGAAATCTTAACAATAATATTGTTTTAATAACTGAATGCAATTTTGCTTGCTATTAAAAGAAATCACACTTTAGTTTCTTCTCCCTCCCCTTTTTTAAAGAAGGTATGTTTTTTCATTCATTTGTGGAAATAAATTTAAAAATTATTGGTAAGCTATTCCAACTGTTTTTTAGTTAAGTATTTTTTGATTTTTTAAACAGTTTTAAAAATATGAATCTTAACATAATTGTTAATAAATGAATGCATTTGTGCTATTAAAAGAATCACACTTTAGTTCTTCCCTCCCTTTTTTAAAGAAGGTATGTTTTTTCTCATTTGTGGGAAAAATTAAAAAATTTTTAAACATTTAAATTATATTCTACTTTATAATCTGGTAAAATTTTTAATTCACAATATGTAGATTTATTTATATCTGGCTCTTTATTTTATTCAGAGCTACTTATTGTGTACTTGGATGTGTTCACGGAGATTCCATTCCTGAAGTTATGGATAAAACTGATGATTATTTATGGTTAAAATTGTGTTTGTTACGTCCTGAAGAAACAGAAGCAGGAACCTTGTTACCCAAAGACAAATTAACTTTTGCCTCATTGCAATCACAACTTCTAGAAGAGTATGGTATGTTTTTTAAAAGTCTCTTAAAAGTTAATTGCATTTTTTAGTATCTTCCAATGGAGGAAAATGCAGACTTCTTATCAAATGTTTCAAATGAAATAAAATTAATGTAAATGATTAATATGTATTACCTTTCTAGGTGCTAGTGAAATATTACTGTATAATAGTAAAATATTGCTGAAGAACTTGCCGTATTTACCGGCATATAAGATGCATCCCCTTTTTTATACACATTTTTGAAGGATAAAACTTTATTACTGATCATTATAATGAATTTACAGTATTTTAAATATAAAAAAAATACAAATACAAATACTTTCTGCAAATACCTAATCTATCTGGGAAGGAATACCTTTTAATCTTCTTCATCAAAACCCAGACACTCATCTCCAGAGCTAAATGAAGAGTCACTTGAACCTTCTTGTAAATCAGTGTATGAGGACTCAGATAACAAATTGTCCTCTATACCATCCAGTGTATTACTAATTCTTCCCGATTTCACCAAGCTCTTATTTTCTCAGTTGGGGGGTGGCCTGAAATGCCTTTCTGCAGCCCTGTCTCCATGTTCTTTAGCATGCGCAATCACACATAGCTTGTATGCCATGTTATAGTAATGTCAACGTTGTTTTTGGCCAACAAATATAAGAAAATAGAACAGTAGAAATTTCACACACTTAAAAGTCGTTCACAAAAATTGGAAAATTTAAACAAACCCAGCTGTGATTGTTGATGGCAGCGCATGCACATTCACAGAACTCTACATAACGGTAATATTTCCGCACTCCGCAAGGAAACAAGAAAAAAAGCAAATAACTCTAAATGAACTGAATATTGATGTATAAGACGCACTCCATTTTTCAGACCTATTTTCAAAGAAAAAGGTGTGTCTTATACGCCGGCAAATACAGTAAATAATTGTTTCTTTGATTACTGAAAATTATTTCGTTGCTTTGTTTGTTAAGATAATGCAGTTAATTCCAAGCTACATCATGAATTAGCAAAATTCTTGTTTTGATGAAAACAAGTTTAATTTTCATAAAATATGCTTTGTATAAAGAAAGTCTTACTTTTTCTGCTTTATCTTAATTTTAAAGCAAAAATTTTCAGCCACTACTCTTTTCCTCATCCAGATCTTACCCACGATCGTTAGTATCAGTAAATAATTTGTATGCTCTTTTTCTTGTGTGTATTACTTGATTTTTCTGCAATTATCATTTTAAAGTATGTCAAAACATAGAGATTTCTTAAATTTCAAAACATTGTCAATTCAACAATTTATGAACAGCCATTTCTAAATGAATATCTGAGCATGGTTTCACCCACTCCATTATCATATCACACCTTTTAGATTGCTGTCACTATGAGCATAAAATTAACAGAATTCTTCACTGATTCTTTTTCGAGAGGTATAATAAGTTTACTAGTAAAATATGCAATTAATTTTGGTGCTAAATATACACTTATTCTACAGTGCTCTCACCTTATTGTCTAAATGGATGATCATTTGGCACTCAGTTTCAACTCTTCTTCGTAATTCTGTCTAAGTTAGATGGCCAGGTCTTACTTTTGGCAATGTATAGCCGAATTTATAAATGTGTTTAAATTCAGCTAATATGTAAGTTTTCAGTGTTGGTTGAATTTTTGCAGCAATATCTTACCTTTTGACTTACGCAAAGAAGATTTTATATGAAGTATTTGGTATTATGTATTGGAAAACACTTTTAATACATTAGAAATGTCTTTTATTAATGCCAGTGATAAGGTAAACTTTAATAAAATGTAGTTTAGAAATATTATAAATTATTCAATAGGTAAAATAAAGATGAAAATTATTAAGTAGCATGTGAACTATATTTATTTTATTTCAATTTCTCTGCTGTCTGCAGACTATTGCTATAATTTGAAAAGTATATTTGAGATCTTTTTGTGCAAGAATCACACCAGGGGAATTGCTTGTTTGTCAAACCAGATAATTTCATATTTATATAGTCAGTTGCTTAATTGGTACAACCAACTTTATTATCGTTTTATCAGAAAGCAAGAGGAGACCTTTTCATAACAGTATGTATTTTTACAGTTAGTGACATAGTTCAGTGACAGATATTTCCATTGATATGATTTTTGTTTTTGACAGTTAATGTGGAACATATATCCTTCCGTATCGTAATACATTTGTCATTTATGCAGAAAGATTTTCTTGCCAATGCTAAATTTATTGTTAATTGTATCTGCTTCTATCCTGGCTAAATTCTGTTGTCATATCAATTTTTCCATTGCCACTTACTTATTTTTATTTTCTTTCAACTTTTGATACCAACAAGGTTTCTTCATTTTTGTATGTTTTCAAACAACTTTTGAATTTATGGCATTTTAATTAGAACAAATCCTATGATCAATCTAAATTCATACATTGGCGTTAGATTAAGCAAAACGGCTATTTTATTTTGATGTAGATCTTAATTAAACAGGGTTCGTAGCGGTCCTTACAAGTGCTTAAATCCTTATAAGCCTTATTTGTAATATAATTTTAAAGACCCTTTAATTTTTTTTTTCCCCCTTTAGTGCTTTTTTTTTTTTTTTTAAATTAACGTGATTGTTTTCCCCGTACCAAAGCCGAAACTAATAAACAACTTCTTAGAATTCAGATATGCAAGCAGATCTGAGAATTCTCCCCCTCTTCTCTTTTCGTAACCTATGGTGCGCGCACGATAATACATAGGTGCATGTCGTTCTGTTGGTCAAAGAATTGCGAAAAAACGGTAGAAATATTCTCCTATTCTTTTACCTCCCACCAAAGACTACACAGTTTGAATTTCTATCAGATTTAATAATTGCATTCGCGTTTTGCATTCTTTCAGATTTGATGTTATGCTAATTCTGAGGCATATGCATGAATATTATAATAATATAGTTGCAAATTGCTGAAGTATAAAACTTCCAAAAATGGGTGTGTTTTTACAAGAGATTCTGGAAGAATATAGGGAAGGCTAAATAAAGCAAAGTATCGAAAAGTCAACCCCCCCCCAATACATTATACAGGAGGTTGGGAGGTTATCCCTTTCTCCGAAAATCTCTAATTAAAGCAGCGGACCTTTTTTTTTTTTTTTTTTTTTTTTTTTTTTTTTTTTTTTTGTTAATGTGGATGAATAGGACTTAAAAGTTTTTCAGTAACCCAACCCAAGTGAAGATTGATTCATTGGAAATTAACTAGTCTGTTGAAAATTAGGATCAGAAACACCCCCGATTAGTAAGTCTCTTTCTCCTTTATTAGTCTTCATTCTTCGAAATATCGGCAGCCGTGATTCCGATTGCGTAATCTATGGAAGAGTTACGCCACAATGTATTGCACAATACGTTTGCGGGTATTTTGCAGAGATAATAATTTTGATGTTCAGTCGGATTTGTTATAACACTTTAAAAGAGTTTTACTGTGCTTTATAAGCAGATATTTCTCAGTTTGTGGGTCGTATGTTTATATATGATGCATATCGAAATGTAAAATCATTTATTTAGCCGAGAAATCTAAGAATGGCTAAATCTCCCCCAACTTTTTTTTTCAGTTACTCCGGAATTCGGCAATTCCGAATAGCGGGAGTTGAGCTTTAACTGTTAACGATGACTGCAGGAAGCAATTTCCTGTCTTCTGATTCAGAAATGTGCCTCTTTTTTTCTTAATTACTTTCTTGGAATTATGTTAGGGAAAACTGTTATGCAATGAAAATTTAGAAAATGTCAGGATTTTGATATTTAAGTTAAATTATAAATATAATATGAGTGGGAAATAAATTGCATTTTATTAGGTGCCAAACAAACAATTAATATTTATCTATACTATTAATTTTTTATTATTTTCTACTTTTGAACGAAATTATCATAAATTTGTATAGTTGAGCGCAGTTTTTTTTTTCTCATTCTAAAACTCTTCGTAAAGTCATTAAATTTAAAAAAAAAAAAAAAATGTTTAAAGGGGGTTGAGGTAATTGGATTCTCTGTAATAAATAAGTTGGGGAAGGTTACAATTACTAATTTGGTGTAAGGATGGTTGGGTATAATGTTTTAGGGGTGCCTTAAAATTGTGAAAAAGTGCTTATAGGTGCTTAGTTTTTTAACTAAAATGTGGCTACGAACCCTGTTAAAACTTTATCAATTTTGAAAGCAATCAGACATGAGTTCCTTTTCATCAATAACAAAAAGAAAGAAACACCTACAATGAAGGGAGAGCAATAACCAAGTTTTTATCAAAAATAGTGGGCAGTATAAAGGGAACATAAACCTAGCACTATCTGTCAAAAAAAAAAAAAAAAAAAAAAAAAAAAAAAAAAAAAAAAAAAAAAAAAAAAAAAAAAAAAAAAAAAAAAAAAAAAAAAAAAAATGGTAATGAAAACATGAAAAACCAAGAGATTATTTGGCATGTTATTTTAACTCAACTGAGAGATATTAGAATTTTAAAAGCATTAGGGAAGACTAGATTAGAATTAATGTGAATAACTAAAGAAAATAAATTTTTGTGTATGTAAAATGCTTCCAAAAATTGAGTTCACCAAATGAGGAACCTTTATGAATAATTTTTGCAGACCAGAAGTCAATAGTGTGATTAAGTTTCAAACTATGATTAGCTATCAAAGGTTTAGTTATTTATTCTTGAAGGAGCAGACAGGAAAATTTATGAACAGCAAGAAAATATCCTGAAAGATAAACTTATGGAGAATACCTGCAATTTTGTAACTGATAGAAGGATGAAATGAAATGATGACAATGTTATTTCTAACATCAGAATGTCTTCTCTAATTGAGATTATTTTATTAAGCTTTATCAATGGCCATGGGAGATAATCCTCTATTAATGACTTTTGGTCTAACAGCTTAGTTCATTAGAAAGTAAAGATTCTGAAATAGTGGTTCTTTTCTCTGAGTATTTTCAATATTTCATAATGTCATAGGCAAGGTAAATGTTGACAACAAAACTATGTGGAACATCACTATGCAATGTCCAAATACCCAGCATTTACTGCTGGGTATCTGGACATGTTGGAATCAAGGGGAATGAATGAAACTACGGTTTGCAATTTCTCAAATGAACTAAGTCACTGATTACATAATTAATTATTGTGCGAATAGATATGAAGAAGTGCTCAGCAAAATAATTAGCTGACGTACTAGATGTAGACCCCATTTTTAGAAGCAAAAGAGTAAGAAAATGGAGGAAGTTGTTTGAGAATAAGTGCATTGACAAATGTAGAAATAAGTGACAAAAAAATAAGTGTAGAAAGTACCATGAAAAGATGGGAAAAGATGTGCTGTGTTTCCCTTGGCTAGGGGGAAAAAATATTTTAGGTAGGCTAATTTTTCATATGGTGTTTAATGCTGAGAAAAACAAAGTTGTCCATTATATTTTAAAAAACAACCAAGATGATAAACTAGTTTCTATATTTTTAGTTTTTTTCATGTGAAAATTTGCATAATTATGTTTAAAAATGGTGCCAAATTTCAAGATGCCCAGGGTGCCAACCCAGTGTGGGTGATATATTTGTTGCATATATTTATTAAAATATTCTGGTCATATAGTGCAACAGGTACACATAAAAACAACAAAAAAGAGAAGAACTAAGAATAGATATTTTTAGCATTATATATATGCTGAGAATCGCTATGAAGTGATACATAAATTTTGCATCAAACTATAAATCTCAATTTTATTATGCAATTTCAATAGAATGTTTTTTATTTTTATATGCCTCTTGTGTCTTTAATCACTGTTACTTTTTTATTTAAAAAAATAATTTTAATTTTGAAAATAAAAATTAAATGTTTGTTTTCAAGGGGAAACATATTTCAATGCTTACCAGCAACCATTCCTGTATTTCCAAGTACTTTTCCTTACGACTCAGTTTGAGGCAGCTATCGAATTTCTTTTTCGAATGGAGTCCCTCAGATGCCATGCTGTGCATGTTGCGATAGTTTTGTATGAACTCAACTTATTGGCATTACCTCCAAATTCTCAAGCTCCATTATGTAAGTATGGTACTTAAAATTATTTTGTTTATTTTATATACTGAATGGTGAATTGATTGAAAATTTAAGTAAAAATCTAGTTATATTTAATATACAAGCAAATGGAAAATTAATATTTTCGTTGGTACTTCTCTATTATCACAACCATTTTAAGTAGAAGTCGCCAAATTTTCAGAATGCTCATAACGATCCTTCAGCTAAGAGACATTGCCATTTTCATTTGTGTTCTTTTTGTTGTATATCAAATTCCAGTGTTTTTATAGATAAATTGTAATATTTTTGCCTTAAGCTTGATTCTAAAATATGCACTTGTATTATTTGCCAACAATGCAAGAAACTACGGTTTGCAGGAGTATATTATTGTGATGGAAAATAGCTGAAAGAAATAATGATAAGTTGCATTTGGTAGATAGCCAGTGCACAGTGCCTAAAGGAAAAACTCTGCGATATAATTAATTCTAAAATTCTTAGCAAATGTAATTAAGGTATTAGAGATTTAATTGAACTAATATTATTTACATATTTACACGTGCAAGCACATATGCCGCCTCATCATTCTGAATAATCCAAGTGATTTTGTGTCTCCAAAAAGGTGGGCTCACTCGCATCAACACCTGTTAGATCTTGTGGTGAGACACCAGAATCTGTACTGTTTTCGAGCCCAGAAAGGTTTGGTCCTGGATGTTCATTAAGAAGTTCAGTTCTAGTGGGCACAGTCCTTTGCAAGTGAATTCTATTTGGAATTCTACTGTACATGCACTCGCCATCTCATTGGATCCTGGATGCATCTGGATGATGATGCCAAGTTTTTACAAATGATTGGGCTCATCATCATGCATTATCACCATATATCCTTTGATCTGTTACGGTGGTTTAACTCATGTCAAAGTCTAGGCTGATCTGGATCCATCAAATATTAGTTCTTCCATGCATTTCACATGTTGCAAACTAATGTCAATGTTCATTTCTCATATTTTCTCTAATTTTATCTGATAATAAAATGTAATTTTTTCCCTATAAGAAAATGTTCAGGACAGAAGGTCTATGCTTCACCTGCTTCATTATATGTATAGGTCAAAAGTCTGGACTATAGTATTTTTTCTGTCTGTGAAGATTGTTTCCAACTCTTCATATCTCAAAATGGCTCATCCAGAGTTTTGGTGGATTGTACAAATCTTTCTCATAATCCCCACCAAGCTATTTTTCCAACAGTAATTTTCAACCGTATACCATTTTTTCCAAAAAAATTTAAGATCTTTGATTATTGCCACGTTGCTTGTTCTGGATCAAAAATAGAGTTTTTTCTTCCTTTAATCTTCCATTATTAGAATGTTAATTATTATTTTAACTTTCTAATCTTCATATGATTTGCATATTTTAGTGATCTATGGAACAATATCTTGAGGTATTAATTTAATCAGCAAGGTACACAAAGATCCATAAGTTTCTAAATTTAGTGCTTGTGCGTTTAAACTGTGAATTTCCAATTGACAAGTATCTAGTAAGTTTCTAAGCAAAGTGACATTGGTTGATTTCCTAACAAGTATTAGATTTATCAGTGGATTTAAACAAGAATTAATGATTGAAGTCCTTTTCCCAAAATACTTGTGACGTTGTTTTCCGACAAATCATTGAAGAGTACAAATGCAGGTACAACAGGCTATACCCCGATATATATGGATGGCCCAAAGCCCAACAATCAAGTTGGCATTTGTGTGCTGGGATACTACGAAAAGCTTTAGGCTACCTGAAGCCTATTCTGTTTTTTCTTCAAAAATATTTGCCATCTATAATGCTCTGATATATATATATTTCTAGACAGCACTGCAAGAAATACATCATCTAGTGCAAAGTGCCCTGATGTCATGAAACCTCTATAATAGACAACCCTTTAGTTTGGGAAGTCTAAGCTAGATCAAAGTTTAAGATCAGGGTTACAGCATCTTTACTGCTGGGTTCTGAACTTTGGAATCAAGGGAATGAATTAGCAGATATTGCGCTCGCCTGTTTGAAAGTTCCCCAGTCTATTCCTTTAGGATTCAGAAGGTCAGCAAAACAATGTTAGATAATGGCAGAAGTAGGGAGACTCAAGTGACAATAATAAGATGTTAAATCCTGGGTCGTTTGGGAATGAATAGAAATCGAGAGAATCCTTTGACCCCTTCATATCGGTCATTCAAAATAACTCATTAGTATTACGAATGAGAATGCCCTATAACAGTTCATGTATTCTTTTTTATCCAGACATTTTTAATTAACTGTCCCGCTTGTAACCCATAGTTACAGTTGTTTTCATAAACAAATCCACGTGATGGATTTAATTGGGAACCCCATTTTAATACCTTTAGGTTTTTAAAAGCAATCAAAATGTATTATAGCATTTAAATTTTAACTACACCTGGTCTTTTAACATAAACCAATTTTAAACAAGTGTTTTCCACACAGAAAATTTTAAACATAGCTTTCAAAATTTCAAAAAATGCTGTCCTTTTATTTCATACCTTCATTTTGTTCTTATACTTAATTATGTCACGCAGTTATACTATAATTTTGCATAGAAGTACTTTTGTGCGATTCTGCTGATTGTTTCCGTATTTCCATGTTTGCAATATAACCCTACGCTTGGCGCATCATAACCGCTGGGTTATGTGCCAAAACTCAACACCAACCAACCAATCCTTTTCCCAAGTCTATGCTTTAAAAGTTCTGTTGCCACTTCACAATTTTTGTTTGTCGGCATATCCTTTGATTGCATTTGCAACTTCTATAGTTAAATATGAAATTAAATAATTAAATTTGTGTATATTAAATAAATCTTTCTTTAAGTCAGCAGATTCAAACTGTTCTCAGAACCTCTGCCAGCCAGCAGAATGACCATTAAATTTTCTTATTGTTAACAAGGATAATTTAACAGAGTGTTTGTCCAAAATTTTAACAGACTTTGAAGTTGTGTGTTCTTTGTGTATCTGGTTTGCATTTACCAAAAGCTTCTTTCAACTTACATGAGCTAATGACCAATTTTTCAATGTCTGTGATTTGATTCTGAATTTCAGAATCTGTTTCTTTTAACTGTTTAAATTTCAAGTTTATTTGTAATAGATCTCCCAACTCTCCCTCTTCTGTGCCATTTTCTAACCCTTGCTGCAATTTTAGAAATTAATTTTGTTCTAAGATATCTGAGCATCATACTCTTTGCTGTGGAAAGTGCGGGATTTATGTATAAGGTACACAAGCTATACCTTAGCCCACCCCCCTACTTTCATGGGGGTCCCCAAAACATTTTTAAATATATTATAACAGACTTATAAAAGGCCCCATATCTGAAATAGCTTAGGGCCTCATCAAGTCTAAACCCGGCCCTGGCTGTTTCTATTTCAAAATCAACTTCTAATAAATTTTTCAAACTAACTTTATATCTCATTAGCTACGTTTCTTTTCTGATTTTACATTTCTAACTGGAGAGGTCAATTAAAGAAGAAGAGTAAACAGTTCTTTAAACTCAATGGCATCCCTGTTCAGGTGCCGGATAGAAAAAATCTCTAGTGATACAATTCGTTTTCAAAGTTCTTAACAAGAGTAGTTAAGGTATTAGAGCTTACATTGTGGTTTCTCGCAGAGATCCAGGACTGCTTGTTGTCTTCAATACAAATGTAGCCGCAGTAATTCTTTAGTTAATTAGCTATTCAGAAATAGTAAATAAATCAAAAGAGGGTTAATAAGATTTAATTTAAATTTAGACACACGGTAGTGTGTCGACCAAGCTCGGAACAGACGGAAAAGAAAACAGACACATACCGGCCATGTGTATCTTACACGAACCATTTCAAGCTACTTTCGACCTCCCCCTATTACTCAAAAACTATTAGACCTGAAAACTTGCAATTTTGTATATCTACTAATAGAGCTCCTTTGAACACATAGAATAATTTGCCTCTTACAGTTATTATATTAAGGTCTGACTTACACATCAAAAACCTAGACCACTTCTAAATAACTTACTTGAAATACATAAAAACCCTGGCATCAAGGTATAGACATACACAAGGGAAATATACATCACCAATAGATGGCATTGTACCAATCCCCGATTTCTACACCACTCAGATGAACTTTGCCAAAAGTGAAGAATAAAAACCTGTTTGTCACACATGAATTGATAGCACAGAGGTAGAGAGTAGAACCGGCTTCTTTATTTAATATCGATTCGGGCCTAACCTACATCGCAAATCCGAAAAAAGAATGTAAAACATTTTCCAAATTTTCTAAAAAAACGTTGCCATTCACTCAAATTAAATTAGATGCAATATGCTTGCCAAATAAAACAATAGAACACAAATATAAATTGAAAGGGACTAATTTCGGGAGAAATGACTTTTGGAGGTTTTGTGATTTTAAATTCTATTAGTAAATGTCAAACAAAAAAAGGAGTTGAGATCTAATGGATGGCAAGTTTCATAACGGTTCCTTTAATCATAGCTGTAGGAATGTAAATTGTTCTTCAATTCATTAAAAAAAAAAAAAAAAAAAAAGTTACTTTCTTTGATATCAGATTTCGAACTTGGCAAGTTAATTTCTAACTGGAGAGGTCAAATTTTTTTAACGTAACTTATTGACAATTAAAACTTGCTAAATTAGAAATCAGATATCAAAGAAAGTAATAAATTGTTTTTTAAATGAATTGACGAACGTTGTGCATTCCTACGGCTATAATTAAAGGAACTGTCATGGAACTTGCCAAATCCATTAGATCTCAATTCTTTTGTTGTTGACACCAACTACACCAAACGTTGTTTCTTCTGAACTTGACCCCTTTTTCAGATTTATGCTCTTGTTATGATAATATTTACATGAGCCATCATACAATGCCTCTTCATTGTTCCGAATTATCCAAGTGCCCAGTGTCTCTAGAAGGCAGGGGCGCTGTAAGCAACCACCACTGGAGCTCATGGGAAGAAGTCAGAACCTGTAATGGTGCTAATGTTGTGTACAATGCCAAGTTTATGCAATACTTTGATACTTTTTTAAGCTAAAATATATTGGTGTGTACTAGGGTAAAAGAACTACAGAAGGCTTTTGTGAAAAATGCAAGTGTAATGTATCATATAATCCTTATTTAATAATTAAGTATATTTTAAATTGCTAAAATGTATGTTGATAATGTTTGCCCACTTACAATAAATATCAATAATTTAAGTCTTTTGAAGGGAAAAAAAATTGCAAAAATCACAAACTTTCACCCAATAAATAACTTTTACCTTTTCATCTGTAAAAATCGCCAAATTGTACCAAAGTAGTTATGTTGATATGTAAACATCTTTCCACTAAAATATTTTTAACACATTTTTCTCCACTTTTATTTTTTATTTTATTATTATTATTATTATTATTATTATTATTATTATTTTAGTATAATTAGTTATTTTAATTCTTTTTTTTTTTTTTTTTTTCTTTTTTTCAAATATTTAGTAATTTATATTTTGGTACTTCCTTGTCTTTATGACCTCTTATCATAAGGGTGCCAAATTCTTGTTTATTTCTCATATACCGTTCCCAGCTTCTTTTCCAAAAATTTTTTAACATGTCATCAAAAGCATTCTCATCCCAAGGTCTTTTGCTGTGTGAAATCTTCAAGATAAGACTCTAGACAAGCTGGGTCTTGTTGCATATTTATTTTGCCAATCATCAATTAGTTGTTTGATACCAAACATATCATCCTGACTTTAGTTTTGCCTAACGTACCCCAAAGTGTCAATGTCAGGTAACTCCACTGCTCTGTAAGATGGACATCCCCATGCCATGTTGTTTATCTCCATGCGATGTTTTCAATGCCAGTATTTTCACCACTCAAGGATATCAAGCTGCATAAAACTTATATGTGCATGCTATCTGTCAAGAGTCACGACAGAAATTCTTGCAACCCTATGTCACTTTGTGTAAACTACAAAGGGGAACACTTGGCTTTCTTTCGTTCTTGTCCCAAATGGAAAGCCAAACGAGAGATACGGACTGTAAAAGTTACGAAAAAGATAATGTATGCTGAAGCAAGGAGACTGATCTCTAAGACTCTCAGCCATGCCAAAATATGGTCTTTGCTGATGTTTTAAAATCTGTCAGGACCCAAATGCTAATTTAGCATTCAGGAAAAAACTTCCACTATCATTCCAAAAATTATCACAATACCTTATTTCACTAAATAGTCACTAACGCAGAAGAATGTGCAAACAGATATCACAAACCCAGAAGAGAAAAAAAAAGAGAGAAAAACTAAATCCAGTCCGATGAGCACAAGCTCAGAGAGCATGTGCTCTGGCAACATTGACTCTGAAATGGAAATAGAACTGGGGATGAATATCTCTAAACATCTTCTACTCCCATAAAGGAAAAAAGCAGCTCAAAGTTTTCCTAATGGCTACTTTGTTGTCATGGATTAAACATTTAATATCATTCCTATTTAAGATCTAACTAGAAAACATCATCCTGTCTGCTTTGTAATGTAAAAAGCACTTTTGAAACTTAGGCAACAGCTTAAGCTTCAGAGATATAATTTTGTTAGGAAAGATAAGGTTTTTAATGACCATTTCGGTGGTGGTGTGGTTCTCCTCAACTCACTTGACTACCCATGTAGCATTCTTCATCTCTCCACTTGCCTTCAAGGCTGTTGCAGTACAAATTAATATATGAAAGTTGATTTCAGCATGTTCCATGTATCTGCCACCCAGCAATCGCACTGAACAGTAGGAACTGGATGATGTAACAGAGCAGGTGCCTAAATCTTTTATTCTCTTATGTGATTTCAGTGGCCACAGTCCTGTTTAGGGAAGTATAGCTAAAAACTTACGTGATATGGAAATTGGAATAAATGATGATAATTCTTTCCCTCCTTAGTACTGGAAAGCAAACCTACTTCAACAACTTACATGGACATTTCACAGCATTGATCCATTTGTTCACCATATCTTCTATCAGTTTGCAACCTCAGAATTCACTTGCCCTCCCATGTGCATCCATCTTCAATTGAATGCAAGTGTGCTGATGAGTCCATCTACCGAATATCTTCACTTTATCCACTAGTTGAGTTCCAAGTAGAAAAGTTTTTGTGATCTATAAAAAAAAGGCCCCTGAAAAGTCACATATAGGATTATATGATCTCTACACCTTTAACTGTCAAAGAACTTCTATCAAACTCATGGTATCGTATACAGCCATTCAGTATACTTGCCCTGAACATAAATTTCAGCTGTCATGTGTTCTCTTTTCCTGATATTAAAAGAATATTGTTAAGTTGCAGGTTTACCCTGGGTGTATACATGCCAATAACCAAGTAACCAATGTCTAGATTGAATGCAGATTTATTATTGGAGAGAGTGAACTGAATGTGGACTGTCTGAATATTATTTTCTATGCATCATGCAAATGTGTTTCTTTTGAGTGAGTGGAAAGTAAACAGTGGATCTTCTGGGGAGATAAAATTCTCTCTGTAGAAGCCTTCTGAAAACAATACTACTTGAAATTAGTTAATGGTAGAAAGTTCTAAAGAAAGTAGCAGTTCTTGGCTCATGACTCTCTAGGTATGGATCTAGTATCTTGAATTTGTTTCTGTAGATGATTCTAGGTGTTATACTGAAGTTTTTTGCTACCTGAACTTGGGATTCTCTACCTCTAGTATGTCAGTGATTCTGTATATCATTTCACATGTAAACATATGTGGTTACTCATTTTGCTATGCTGTTATTAATTTTAATGAAATTTTACAGCAGGTGCTTTCAGTATCACTGATGTGTACAAACAAAATAACAGCAGAGCAAAAAATTACTCCTTTTTGTATTTATCACTGTTATATCACCTCATGTGTGTACAAATATAATTACATATTTGATGCCAGTAGTACTAAATTTTTATTTGATGCTTTCAAGTTTCAGTTCAGTAATTTTGAATTAGTATACATTGAAGGCTGAGTGATTTGTAAAAATCGTTTCTTCAATATAAATTGCTCTAAAATTTTGTATACCAGCATTATGTATTTTCCATTTATCAGTTGATTAATATTTTAATTTCAGTTAGTAGAGAATGTATTGCTTGTGAGTTTAATATTGATTTACCAATAGAAGTAATTTATATTTTTAAAAAAAATTGCTTTTATTAAATACTGATTTGTTGTATCTTTTTAGTGTCTAAAGTAAATGCTGATAAACCTCCTATGCGTAGATTAAATCTTTCTCGTTTAATCATGATGTACACAAAAAAATTTGAAGTCACTGATCCACGAGAAGCATTACAGTATTTTTACATCTTGAGGTTTGTTTATTTGTTTATATTTGTTTTTTATTTTATAAAATTTATGGAGATATTTACTCTACAGTTTTTAAGGTGTATAAAAGATTTGCTTTTTTTATTAATTTCTTCAATATAATATTACAAGAACTCCCAGGTATAGCAGGGTCATTCATAGAAAGTCCCAAAACTGGCAAAAATTCCTTAATTTTGCTCATCTGGCATTTCTGTATCTCTTTTGTGGCTGATGTTTCAGAGTGCAAACTAGCATTTCAGATGAATGTGGAATTCAAATGCTAGGTGTTAGAAAATGCTAAAAGTAGGCAGCACTTGGATGCACCATTCAAATAGATGTAAGGGCACCGTAACAAATGTTTCTCTACAGAGTCAACAACGAATATACGACTTTCAGGTTGGGGGTGCGAATAAATCTGAAAGTATCGATTTTTTTTGCATGTGAGAAAAACTTTCAATGATTATTATGTTATTCATAAAAAGTGATTTCTCTAATTTATAATTGGCTAATTCTGTGTAATCTCAAATGAAAGCAAAAACAACAATTGCAATCTTCTATGTTATATTTTATTTCAAACCTTAGGGATCTGAAAAGCAGCAGAGGGATTAGTCTTTTTATGGCATGTGTTAGTGAACTTGTTCTGGAAACTAAAGAGGTGAGTCTAATATTTAGATGTTAATATTTTAATCATTCATTTTTCTAACATTTCTTGATATTGCTATCGAAATTAGGCCTGAAATTTTCATAGTTGATTTTTAATATGAACTAATAAATGTGGTGAATCTGTTATGCTAAATTTTTTTGTATTGATTTTGAGAATTTCATATATACAGATAAAATAAATGAAAATGAAATTAACATTCTTTTTACTCCCTTGTACAAAGTAAAGGAAGGATTGTAATGCAAAAATATTTGGGTATCATATTTCAACAAAAATATCCATTTTGACTGCTATAGAATGCATTTCTAAGATGTTTTTAGGTTACATCTGTATGTAAGAACAGAATAAAGGCTCTTTTTCCCAAAATGGGTTTCAAAAAGGATTTAAAATGGATTCAGAAGAAACTTTTTTGTGGCGTCACAAAAAACATATGTATGTATCGTGCATAACTCAAAAACAAATAGCCTCAGATCGTTGAAATTTTGTATGTAGGACTGCAATAACATGTAGTTGTGTACCCTCCTTTTTGGTTGCAATCGGTAACATCAAAAGATGGAAGATACTAGGAATCACTAAATGCAAGAAAACCAATGATTGTCTTGATATCAACCTCCTTGATTGTAAATATGGGGCAGTATTTTAGGCCACAGCATACCTGTTAGTTTCTTCCGTGCTCTTATTATATATCTCATCATCAAAGAATTTAATAATTTTTCAAATATTATATTTTGGAATGTTTTGTCAGTTTACTATTATTACAACTTCAAATTATTCTAATTATTACTCATTGGTAAAGGTTATATGAAATATTATGTGGACTGTCCAGTGATATATTTATAAATCACTGTCTAAATTAACATGACAAAAAAAAATAACCAAATACTAGTCAAATTACATTAGTTTAAATAAACTGTTCTAAATATAAATATAAAGCTTACCTAATCTCTTGATGTAAATACTCAGAATAACTTATTTGATACCCTTGGCAAGGGAAAAAAATGTCAATAGAAATTGACATTTTTTTCATGTCAACAGAAATTGCACACACCATTTAGGACCACAAAATTTAACTAATTTACACTAAACTTATAGTGGGAGAAACTATGATGTGTTGAAGGCCAACATCTGAAATCGCTGTTTTGTGTTATGATCTATAGATAGATTGCTAGATGCTGATGAGTGAAAACAATTATCTGATCAATAATTTGTAATTTGACTTTTATTTTTGTGTTTATTTATAATATTTGTTTATTATTTCATTTCTGATTAAATAAATTTTTTGTTCATTTATATATTTTTTTTTATTTCAGCATGAGATGCTTCTAGGAAAGATTGAGCCTGATGGTTGCAGAAAGGTGAATTTTTATTTTCTTTCAGATTTCAAATACTTCTAATCATTTCTATTGCTCATTGTCTTTTTATTTCTGTAAGTGGCCAAGGGAAATGGTACTTTACTTTTTATCTTCTGTTACCGTATTGCTGTCACTTCTGCATGGTATTATTTTCAGAAACAATTATAGGTGCAAAAATGAAAAAATTGGAAATGTAAAATGTGTGAAACACGTCTATTGCCTACCTTGATGTAATATTTACCCCTTTCACTAAAATCATTCCACCCTTCATTTCCAAAACTTGAAAAATACATTTATTTAATTTTTTTTCTGTGTTCTATAAATTATACAAAAACAAGTATTGAAAATGTTAATAAATAGCAAAACTTGAATAAAAGTTTTTTTTTTTTTTTTTTTTTTTTTTTTTTTTTTTTACATTTATAAACTAAAACTAAATATTTAACAGGTAAATAAAAGGCCTCATTCTCCGATCCTCTGAAACTCTGAAATCCCCCTATGGGGAAATTCCCCACTGGTTAAAAACCCCTGATTTACACAGTGTATTTATAAAGGGCTGACTTTTTCCAAGGAATTCAGTGAAGCATTAATATATCTCAACTTTTTTTCCTTAACTGTCTAAATAGCATCATAATTTTTATCCAGTCAAGTAATTTGCTGTCACTTTGGTAGTATTAGAGTGTTATCTAAAATACTTTGCTCTTTCATTTTCTTTAATCACCTGAATAATTATAAGATTATGTAAATAAAGAATGAAATAAGTAATTACATAAATCTGTTACAAATCCTCTGTGTGAAGGCAGCACATCAAAATCTGATCCAAAATTCCTGGCCACGCGGAACGTGTTAAAGTACCACCTAGTTGTGATCCACAGAAGTTTAACTGTTTCAGTCTTTAGCCATCATTAGGTTATTTTTTAAACTAGAATAAATAATTATGTAAATTTATCTAATAGAAAATATTTAGATATTGTTCTTCATGAACAGATACAGAAAGCCATGCCACTCAAAGGGTTAAATGCAAATTTTATTTTAACCCCATGAAAAAAGTGCTTTGATTTTCACATTAAATAACACAAAATAAACAATTAAGTTATGTATAATTAAACTACAGTCAAAAATCGTTAATCCGGACTCGCCGGGACTTCGGCGATTCCGGATTATCTATTTTTCCAGATTATAGATCATCAGTTTAAATTTCGTAAAATGGCATGCAGAAATTATAAAATTAAAAATATGAAACCATAATTTATGAAATAAAGAACAATTATGATGTAAAGGGTATCAAAATTTACAAAAAAAAAGCTTAATATTTATTTGTTTACTTTATTAAACATTTCTTTCAATGTAAGTTGTTTAAGTTGCTTCGTTTTATGTGATAATACTTTCTCTTTAATTCTATAAACAGACATAATTTCTTGTTCAGTTACAAAGTTCCGCTGTTCAAGACCCGTAATTGCTGTGCCGAGAATACCGACTAACTTGTCAATCGAAATTTTTTTGTTTTCACTAACCTCTCTGTAACCTTCTTCATGTCTTTATCCATTTTTTCAGGAATTCCACTTTTTGTTTGATGAACATCAAAACATACTTTCGTTTTGTAGATCCTTCGGGAGCTCCAGCATCGGAAATTCTATTTGACATAATCGAAAGTTCAAGTTTACTTTTATAAAATTGCTCTTACAGTCTGAAAAAAGTATTAAGCCGGATCCAGTTCGTAGATTAAGGAACAACACAATCTTCAACATTAACTGAAATAGATAATTAGATAATTTTAGCTTATACCGTCCCTTAATTAAGACACAATAACACGCCGAATAAATACTAATTCAGAAGTCAAACAACAAAAATTCTGTGAAAATTTTGTAAATATAATGCTGATTTTTGTTGTTTGACTTCTGAATTAGTATACCGTCCCTTATACATTAAACGTGCACGCGAAAACGTATTCTGCACTTGCGCACACGCATATGCGCAGTCGTAAGTATCTTACGAGCATGCGTAAATGCCTATGCACATGTTTCAACGCGGCACATGCGCAGAAAGTTTTTAGCTTTGAGGTCCAGATTATAGATCATTCTGGATTATCGGTGTCCGAATTAACGACTTTTGACTGTATTTGCTTAATTCTGATGATCTAATGTGTTTATTATTGTACTGTTTTTTTTTTACAGCCTGGAGCAATTGATAAATTCCTTACTGACACTCAAGCTATTATAGAGATAGTAGCTACTGATAGTGAAAATAAAGGTTTATATGAAGATGCCATAAAACTTTATGATCTTGCAAAAGTAAGTCTGTTGTTGATATGGAAACACGTAAAGCTTGAGAATAATGTATTAATATTTAAATTCATTTGTTGTCATTTTTTCCCTTCCTTTTCTTTTTTTAAAAGTATATTGGTATCAAATTTGTGTGTCAAGCATTGATGTAATCAAATGCAAAAAAATTGTTAATACTTTATAATAATAATTAATGCCAACTTTAAATAGCTCCAACAAAACTGCTTTCAAAACACCCTTTAACCCTGTGGCTGCTCATTCCGTGATTTCCACAAGCAACTCAAATGTAGCAAAATCTGCGATTTCCGTGGGCATGTGTTTTTCTTTCTTTATTGAGGAGCGCATCCCGTTTTTTCCCCGTTTAACCACTGAAATAAATTATATACAGTATTAGATGTTTAGTTTACGCTTTGGCTAATAGATATCGTTAATTGTCCACTAAATTGCAGCTTTTAAAGGCACGAGGTATTACCACTCAAACTCCACTTTTTGCCACTTTTTTCTTACAGAAATGGCTGCTAGAAAACATTCAGAGATTATCTTGATTATTTAATTAAATTATTGAATTATTAATTAGATTTATTGATTATATTAATAATTTAACTGATTATTAATTAGATTTATTGAATCTGGTGCAGAGACTGTGAAGTTGGACTTTGCCTTGAACCCTGTTTTGAACTCTATCATACTAAAATGCATTTCTAAGATATTTTTTCCTCAGTGCTGTATATTTTCTTAAATTTTATATATTTTACTTTTTTTATATTATGCAATAAATAGAAATTAACTGTAATGTGACTGAAATTTATTTAAAAAAAAATTTTTTTGGTGGTAACATCTGAAATTGGTTTCTCTGGCAACTTAGTTTCTCATGATAAAAATCTATATAAAAAAATATTTTCTAGAAAGGAAAAATGCATTTTTCATTTCTTAAATATATATATAGACTTAATATACACAACAAAAAAAAATAATAATAATAATAATTTCGAAGCGATTTCGGTCCACAAATTGAACAGTCATTATCTTCCCATTGTTCATTGCTGTGAAATAAAATTCCTTGAGGAGTTATCCAAAGATTTAAGTTATGGTACTTAAAGTAATCACATGCATAGTGGTAATCTGACAGTTAATGGCAGGCTACCACTATGCAAGTGAAAAATATATCTGAGAACATAGTGTTTCAATTTTTCAATGAACATCAACCTTAGTTGTAGGTTATCTGGTGCACGGTAGCAAATAAATACAACACTGAGGTTGTTCTTTCCATTCCCTAGTCATCCCTAGATGGTGTGAGTTTCGTGTGCTTTGAAAAGTTGTAAAGAGTTTGCAATCTTTTATCTTAGTTTTTACACTTTTCCTAGACCTAAGTAAAATATCTTATGTTTTTCAAACTCATCATCCATTGAGTTGCAGATTTCCTACTCCCACCTACGAAGGATGTTTAACAGGTGAATAAAGCCATGCTTCTCATACCACAGATTTATTTAAGAAAAAGGTTTTATTATATTTCTATTTTTCACCTATTTTTTCTTGAGATAGCACCTGTAGCTTTTTACTTTTGGAAAACTTGATTACAAAATGCAACCTAAATATAGCTGTAATAACTTTTAAATTTGACCACCTGCATTATTTTGGAATCTAAATATTATTCATTGCAAAGTCAGATTATGTTAGCTTTGACGTATTTGTTAATTTCTGATGCCTTTGTTGCTTTAAAAATTATATTATGCAAAAATTTAATCTTTTTATGTATAGAGTAGAAAATATTGGTGTATGGTAGTTTGCAGTTAAAATTACCGAATCAAATAAAAGTTTTAAATTATTAATTATTGTAAAGTATTATCAATATTATCTGCTTTTAAAACAACATTCCAAAAATATTTCTTAGAAATTTGTGTTAAAAATTTTTGTTCTTTTATATGACATATATTTAGTTCTATAATATCTTTTTTCAGAAACATGATAAAGTTATTGAGATTTTAAACAAACTATTGAGTCAAGTGGTGCCTCAAATGAATGTAGAGGGTTCTAATCGACAAAGATTAGAAAGCCTTGCCTTAACAATTGCTGAGAGGTAAGTTGTTTGTAAAGATGCTTTAATGCTTTTCTATTAGCATGCTACCTGTTGAAAGTTCAACAGTTTTAAAAATAATAGTAAATTTTTATCAAGTTTAGCAATCGCATTCTTATGTGTCTCAGAATGGGAACAGTTCTATAGTGATTATCAAAATAAAAAAAATCTGATGTGTACACCACATGATTTCTTTGTACGGAATATTCAATTATACGCATTTTTTCTTGAATTTCATTTAAACTTATTGAATTAAATCTACTTCGATAGTGCACAAATTATTATAGAATAAATGCACTCTTTAAAATTCACTATATTTGTTTACCATAGCGACACTCTGGTGCTACGTTCACTTAACGGCGTTATATTTCGTTCATATTATAACTCAGAATGCACAAAATTTATATCATTTGAAGAATTATATAATTGTTGCCACATGTTCTATTCAAATACTATAATAAATCTAGAAAAATGTATAAAAGAAATTAAGCAAAGAAAACAAAAAAGAAACAGTTTTTCACAGACGATTCAGTATTTCTCATTCAATTAATTCAGTTCTCACTTCACGACAATGCAAAAATACATAAAAATAGTGCAAGCAAAACTTTTTAATTAACAGAATATATGAAGAAATGCTGAACTTTGTATTTGAATTATTTACACATTTTTTTTTTTTTTTTTTTTTTTTTTCAAATCACCTGGAATAGCTTTTGGAGTAATTAAGCTATCTGAAATTGATATTTGTAGATAATTCTCCTAAACCTTTTTTTGGGGGGAGGGAGTTGAAACAAAGTTTTGACTACTAATTTTAATCAGTTTTCAGACTTATCCAAAGCATCAAAATGTGTATATTTAATAGCTTTTGTAAAAACATATAAATATTATGTATAATAATAGTTTGTCATGTAGGAATAAGATTTTTCGTATTTTTTTTTCTTTGTAAAATTTTATATCTGAGAACGGCAATAAACTGTTTTGTGTTTCAGGTACAAAACACAAGGCCATACTGCAAGCCCTGAAACAGCTGGAACATTTTTCTTGTTACTTGATCTTATGGCATTTTTCAATTATTACCACAAAAATCAACATATAGAAGCTTTAGATGTGAGTTGCACAATATTTTTTAATGCATTAGTGTTTGCTTGCACTTATGTCTCCTTCATGATTTCTTTTGGACGGACTTAAATTTTTTAACTTTACATTACTTCTTCCTTTCACTGAATAATTTTCATTCCTCAAAATAAAAATTTTTATATGAAGATTCCTTTTCATTTTTTCATTTAATGGATCCTAAAACGTAAATAAAATATCTGAAGATTAAAGCCTTCTTTCCCTGATACTATAATTTTTGTTTTTCTAAAATTATTTTAGTTTGCTGTCAATTTATTGGTATTTAAACAAATGTCAAATTGAAAGTTTATTGGCTAACTATAATTTCTTTTATTATCTGCTATCAGTCTTGTTTATAAACAGTCTCTTACTTTAATATATAGATATGTGTAAGAATTCCAGTAACTTTTGGATCCTTGCAATTCACATTCATTTTTTTATTTAAACTAACAAAATTTCAATTTTAAGAAAATTCAGTCTGGCAGATTTAATAGCAGTTTCCTTTTACATGTGCATGCAAATAAACTTTCAACAAAAATGCACTGTGTTTATAAATATATTTGATTGAAAAAGTGAATTTATCATAGTATTTTCTTCATGTGCATAAGTGCTCTCATTTTATAGTAAACATGGATCATCATTTTACACACATTTCCAATTTTAGTTAAATCCCTCCTTTTGGATGAATGTATGTATTCATGTCTCTAAAAATTAATATCAAGTTTAGCTAGTTGTAAATCAATATTAAGTAGTAAATAATATTAAGTTAAGCAGTAGTAGTAAATTAAGTTAGCTTAGTTGGTAGAAAGGAATTAGTTGGAATTAAGAAATTTAATTTGTCCACAACTTCCTGTGTCCAACTTAAATGCATCTTGTAGCTTGTAGTCTTTGCAGTGAATAGAGATAGATTAATGGCATATTTAGAGACTTTTCTGGCTTCAAAAATGTAAAATATAGTAAACTAACTTGGGCCAAAAAACAATAATAAATCCAAAAGTTTCAGTTCTAGCACTTTTTTTTAAATGTTAGTAGCATTGTTAATCCTATTGCAAATGCATGAAATGTAATAGTTGAATTACCATTGGGATTAAGATTAAGAAAAACTTTACTACATAGCTTAGTAAGTAGTTTCTTTTTGGGGGGATATTTTTTAAACTATTATTATTATTGCTCCTACTTGAAGTAAAAGTTCTACAGCTGCTTTTAAGCTTTTGACTCTGTAGAAAGTGATGGAAATTGGGCTGTGGCTAGAGAATTCCAAGTTAATGAGATGTGCATTCAAAGATGGAAATCTGAACAAGAAGAACTAGAGAAAATGTCTAAGAATAAAATATCTTATTGGACTGGCATCATAGCATTTGAAAGACAATTTAGAGAAATGAGCAACAGAGCAGAGAGAAAACGGAGTACCAGTATCAACATTATGATTCGCCTTCAAGTAAAGTATTTGCATAACAGGCTTTTTCGGAAGACCTAATTGGTGTTTCAGGTTCATGAAATAAAAGACATTATGCATCAAGACCAAAACAACTGCTGGACAAAAGTTTCCCATAGACTGACTTGGGGGGGGGAAGATGCTTTGGAGTGCACATCTAAGAAAGTTAAAGTACAAAATTTGAATGGAGGACAAATAATATATATGAATTTCCCATTACTTTTTGATTGTCCTTCATTCAGCAGGTGATGGATTTGCAAAAGAGTGATGTTGTTTAGGGTGAGAGAAATTTACTGCAAATGGAAAGGTGCTTTTTTCCAACCTCAGACTCATCGTTCTGAAATGAGTGCAATCCCATCTAGTGGATACACTGAAATCTGAAACAAAAAAAAACTTAGCATCAGTGTCACGGCAGGTGGCCTTACAGAAATTTACAGTTACAGTTATCATCAAGATTTTCAAGGATGAACTACAAAAACAGAAAGAATGGATGCAAAACGGACTTGCAAAATCCAGACAGATGAGAAAAGTTTCCAATGAGTAGACTATCTTGTGAGTTGATAAGGCACCAGCAATCAGTCCGAGTTGGTATGATTATATCAAATATCATTATGAAAAGTCATCAAAAAAGAAAATTAAATTAAAGACAACGGCATTCAAAGAGTGATTTAGAACAGAGTGATAAAGGTTGCATTGATGGTCATTTGTTAAGTTTAATCCCAACATTGATGAGTCATACTTCAAAGATTTTGTATAAGTAAATGCAGTTTATTTTAAATATAAATTATGTTTGATTAGTTAATTTCTGTAATTTTTTTCACAATATAGTAATTTATGGTGGTAAATAAAGTTTACCCAGACCCTTAAAACAGCATTTGTTAGAAATTAATATAGTTTGTTTTTGGCAAGTTGAAAGTAATATATTTGTTAATTTTTTACTTAGTTATACAGTACTGTTCATAATTATGATGTAAATTGTATAAAATGTTTAAATGGTGATTACATCAGTATGGAATGGAATTATTGAATACATGAATATTAAATGCTATGTTTCAAAATGCTTTGCTGTGGCTAATACAGCATGACTTATATGATGAACATTATTTTTTATAGTCAATTATCACATGTGCAATGTAAACACCAGGGTGGCTTATCTACCTGAAATTACGGCAGTTGTTTGCATCAAACTTTTGGTTTTTTTTGTAAAAGAATTTTTTTCTTCCTTAAAAGATTTCCCTTACTTATCTTTCTTTTTTTTTTTTTTTTTTTTTTTTTTTTTTTTTTTTGTTTTTTTTTTTTTTTTTTCATGAAACTGTATTTAAAAACTGCATTGCAAAGTCCAAAATATGGACATCAAATATCCAGGCCTATGAGCTACTAGGGAAAAAGACACGCTTTATTTTTGTTCTTAATAAGTATTGTTTAATTGATTAATTTTTTAAGGTATGAATATTCTTTGGTTAGCTCTTTTTTATGCAAATGATCTAAATTTAATGTAAAAAAGGTAAAATATTTATTTTAATAGAGAATAAAGAGTTTACGGTTGTTACCTTTCGATGTTCAAGAAGTGGAACAGAAAGTTACTGCTTTCTCTACATATTCGGAAGAAGTAAGTTATAAACTGGTTTGAAGAATGTTTATTTCATTCAAAAATGCTGGCAGTATAAAATTTATTAAGAGTTTATTAAAAATCTTTTCTAGGTTAGAAGAAATTTTCCTGATGTTCTCCTTGCTACCATGAATATTCTATATTCTGAGTATAAAAAGACAAAGTATGTGTCTGGAATATAACTGGAATTTTCTATGACTGTAGTATTATCTCTCTTGCTATATCTAACTGATCTTTAGAATATATTTTAGAAATATTTTTGATTACCATCTATTAATCCATGTTAATTATCTGTCTTTCAATGCTCATGAAAGTTATGAAATCACTGTCACTACTATTTTTGATTAATTTATGCATGTAATAAAAAGTATTTAAACAATTATTTTCAGGAAGTCAATGAGCATAAATCCAGATCAGAGGTATCTGAATGAAAACATCAGTCAAGAAAAGGTAAAAATTTTAATACTTATCTGTCTATTATAAATAGGGGACTGAGTGACCACCATATGTATAAAATATGTCTATTTTATAAAGCATTCAGTGAAATTACTTCAATAAGACCTTTAAATCAATCTTAATTAGTGAGTCTGATTCTGATGTTGAATGCAACTCACTCCCTGATCTCTTCTTTTTTTTTTTTTTTTTTTTTTTTTTTTTTTTTTTTTTTTTTTTTTTTATTTTTTTTTTGTTTTTTTTTTTTTTTTTGTTTTTTTTTTTTTTTTTTTTTTTTTTTTTTTTTTTTTTTTTTTTTTTTTTTTTTTTATTTTTTTTTTTTTTTTTTTTTTTTTTTTTTTTTTTTTTTTTTTTTTTTTTTGTTTTTTTTTTTTTTTTTTTTTCTTTTTTTTTTTTTTTTTTTTTGTTTTTTTTTTTTTTTTTTTTTTTTTTTTTTTTTTTTTTTTTTTTTTTTTTTTTTTTTTTTTTTTTTTTTTTTTTTTTTTTTTTTTTTTTTTTTTTTTTTTTTTTGTTTTTTTTTTTTTTTTTTTTTTTTTTTTTTTTTTTTTTTTTTTTTTTTTTTTTTTTTTTTTTTTTTTTTTTTTTTTTTTTTTTTTTTTTTTTTTTTTTTTTTTTTTTTTTTTTTTTTTTTTTTTTTTTTTTTTTTTTTTTGTTTTTTTTTTTTTTTTTTTTTTTTTTTTTTTTTTTTTTTTTTTTTTTTTTTTTTTTTTTTTTTTTTTTTTTTATTTTTTTTTTTTTTTTTTTTTTTTTTTTTTTTTTTTTTTTTTTTTTTTTTTTTTTTTTTTTTTTTTTTTTTTTTTTTTGTTTTTTTTTTTTTTTTTTATTTTTTTTTTTTTTTTCTTTTTTTTTTTTTTTTTTTTTTTTTTTTTTTTTTAATTTTTTTTTTTTTTTTTTTTTAACTCACTCATTTACATCAATCTTTCTTTTCTCTATTTCTTTTTTTTTTTTTTTTTCTTTTTTTTTTTTTTTTTTATTTTTTTTTTTTTTTTTTTTTTTTTTTTTTTTTTTTTTTAACTTTGTTTTGAAATTTCATTTACATCAGAAAAGTTTAAGGCTTTTCTCTATATACTGAAAGACATTTCTCTTTATATATTTATTCGAAAATAAGACCTCTGTTTTTTGCTCAATTTTTGTTCTAAGATTTAGTAAGGTCTTATACACAGGTATTTTGATAAATGGAATTGCATAATGAGAGGCACATCATATTATATTGAATAATTATGCTGTTTAAATATTAAATATATTGATCAAATATCCCAATATTGAAGAATCCTACAAACATTTCTTTCAATGTGTGGTCACAAAGAGCTTTTATGTCCGATAATGATTTAAATGAGTGATGTTCTTTCTCAAATACCAGCTTATAGGAAGTACAAGTGAAACATCTGCATCCCAACTTTTAAGGTTTCCACTTTCAAATCTTCCCTTTAGGATGCATATATTATATTCACAGAGAATTTTCAAAAAATTCATGAAATGCTTCCTAGTTTCATGGTAACTGTATGTAAGTACATACATCTTAAAGTAGATGTATTTTTAGGTATACCTGCAAAGTGTTAAATTTGTTTATTAAAATTTCTGAAGACCCTGCAAATTTACACATTAGCACATTTTAAAATTTGGAGTATTTGTTATAAGTGCCAGCAACACCAATTTATTTTAATATCTTAAAAATGTGCATCATATATGTAATCAATAAATCTGAGTATATCAAACAATATGCCGAAGCTATTATAAAAAATGCTGTCTTCTACTGCAGAAATATTTTATCAGCAGCAAAATTTACTAGAGTATTAGATTATCTGATTTTTCTGTGTGCAACAAATAAAAATGATTTATGTACAAAGATATTTCATGGCATTAACTGCATAGTTAAGTTTTTAAACCAACAGTTTTTTATACTTGAAGGGACCACTAATATCATTAAAGACTTTTTTCTTTTTCAAAGCAAAATATATTTGTACATAAACATTAGAGTAATCACATTTTTAAAAGTCAAATTGTGATTTGTCAAGACCTGATTACTAATCATTAATTAATATAATAAATGAAGATTGTTATATTTATTTTCACATTACCATTATTTCTGCTACATTTACTCATATTAGAATTTATTAAAATTCTTCCTATAAAATAATTTCAAAAATTAAAAAATTTGTTCTTCTCTGTCGACATATTGTTAATTTTATATCAATCAAGCATTAAATACTTGCTTTTCTATATTTCTGTTCAGTTTCGTGCAAATTATGCTGGTTTAACCAACAAATGACAATCTAAGATCAGAGAGTATTTACTGGCAGTTCAGCCATTGGTGCTGTAACTATCATATTCCTTCATACAAGGAAGTAAAACTACACTGGTTTTTACTTCCTTGTATGAAGTAAAGGAAGTATGGTATTTCAAAGAAAATATCTATTTTGACCCCTGTTGAATTCATTGAAGGATGTTTTTGCATAACACCTGTACATATAGACAGAATAATAATAAAAGATTCTTTTTCCCAAATTGGATTTTAAATGGATTCAAAAGAGACTTTTTTCATGACATCTGTATGAATGTACATATTTATTGTGCATAATTCAAAAAACGAGTAGCCTCAGAATGTTGAAATTTTGTATATGGTACTGCTATAGCATGTAGTTGTGCACCTCCCTTTTTGATTGCAATCGGCCACACTAAACATATATAAATATGTATATATCCACTCTGTTACTTAGCTTGATGAGCTTAGTTTTTTAATCTTATACGTTTTTAAATTGTGCATTTTTTGCTTTAAAAGTGATTGAATTATATATTTTTTATGTTCCGATTAAGGTTTTTATGCCTCGAATTTTTATCTATTGTTATCAGGTAAGCATATTTTTCTATCACTTTCATTCCTGCATCTGAAGAAGAGTTTCTGTGTAATATGCATAAATTTGCAGGGCTATAATTTCAAATATTACGCCAGTTTTTTTCATCAGTATTAATATTTTTAAGTATTTATCATATCTACATACTTATATCATATCTACACGTGGCTTATCTTTAATATTAAATTGATCATGCTGGACAACTCTATAATTGCCCCCCCTCCATGTATTCTTTAGAAGTACTATTTGAATTATTATACAGATAATGGTTATTTTATTTTCTACATTATTATTAAATTAATTTCTTATGTTATTTATTAAAAAAATAATGTGATTTCATTGTGTTTTCCTTCTATAGTATATTGCCTATTTACGAGCCCAGGCCTCAGCCCTGATAACATTTGCTGGAATGATACCTTATCGTATGCCAGGTGATACAAATGCAAGACTTGTACAAATAGAAGTGCTTATGATCTAAAGTATTACTGAAAGACATTTACCAGTATTTATAATAAGATAGTTACTGCAACTTTCTGAAAGTACATAATCATATTTTTGGTGACAAGCATTATGTATGTAGATTTATAACAGAGGCAAAACTGTGTTTTGAACAAAATTTTGCACAGCAGTATGGTATTTAGATGTATAAATGTAACTGCTCTAATTTTATATTATTGAATAAAAATTTACATCTTTGCTTTACTGTTTAATGATCTGAATGTCCAAGGAGGAAGAACTTTTTTTATTTAATAACATAAAAACTATAACAATCTATCACTGATCTAGAATGCACACACTAAATTATTATATATTTTCAAAATTAACTGATTTACATATATAAAAATATGTTTAAAACTTATATGTACAAGTATTCATAAATTAAGTTAGTTATTATGCCTATTTTTATCTGTTCAGCAGCTTTTAGAGTTGTTACTGTTGCTTATTGATAGGTCTGGTGTTCTGCCATCTTTAGCCTGTAAAAGAAAAGTAATTGATAGTCTTATTGTAAACATATCTGTATCATACAGAGTTTTAAACTGGCTTCTAAAAGTTGAGAATGTGATGATAAAATCAACAAAAATGGAAAAATCAATGCTTTGATGATCCACATGAAAGTAGAAGATGTGTTTATATATGAAAGAAAACAAGCATTATATATAAAAATGAAAACACTTATTCAAAAGTATAGGATGACATTGCATTTGATACATTAATAAATTTATATTTATCCTCTTGCCTGTTGAACATATTTCAGGAAAATGGGTGAAAAACTTTTTTTTTAACTCACTGGCGCCTACAAACACTTTTAACTGTATGCTAACCCTGCCCTCTTTACACTGTATGCTAACCCTGCCCAGCCAACTGTCAAATTCCATATTTATTTGAAGTATTGCAATCTATTAACAAACAGTAAATTACATTACAAAGCATTTAATAAATGAAACGAACTCATTTCAGGCTTCACAGAATAGAAAGACTGATTTTTCAGTTCAGGCATTCATAGTGACCGATAGAGGGTTAAAGCTAAACACAAATGGGGTATGTGACTATCTTCACACAAACTTTACAGCAATTGCCTGTGTTTCAATGAGGTGATCAACCACTACAGTTGCTAGCAATAACTATTTTTCCATTAGGGCAGTTTCCAATTGTCTGAAGGAAGCAAATCTTTTGAGACAGCATACATAAGGGCATTCCAAAGAATCTTCAGTGGGATTAAAGTTGAAGATATACAGCAGCCACTCCATATGAGGAATGCCCTCATTCTCCCGCTACTCATTAATGGTGTTGCCTCAGGACGGACATTTTCATCTACAGGGAGAAAATCAGGACCAACTGCTGCAGCGTAGAGACTCACAGTGGGGTGTAGAACTTCATTAGATACTACATAGCTGTTGCAGAACCATCTTTAAAGATGTGTTGCTGGGTGCGATAGCCCATTGGAATCGCAGATGTCGGGATCATGGTCTTGCTACCTCTAAACAAACAATGGTCTTGACCCTTACAATTCTGACCTGACTTGTCTAAAAACAAATAATTGAGATGAAACTGCTTGAAAGAAACTATAATCTGGGCCTTTACCATGGTATAGTGATCCATACTTTGAATACTACTTCTTTAAGTTGATTTCCTGATAAGAATTGCTGCAAATTTGGTTTAAGTGCTGCTAGAATGTGCAGATGAGCGAGTTTAAGAGATGAATTGGGTATCTTATCTAGTGGAACAAAATATTTTAGTAGGTATCAGAGAGCCTTCAGCCGGGTACAGTGCGATACTTATAATTATTTGGGAGCTGAGGATGATATTCAATTATAGAAGGATCTAAAATCTTTTGTTATCGGCAATATTGACTAAACCCAGCTACTTTAGTACAGATACTTATTCATTGATTCACCATACCCTTTTCCAAGAATTTTCAATTTTCGAATTTTTGACGTCACGTAAATATCGACTAGTTTCACCTGGCAACACGCCTACCCCCACTTTTTGACTACTACAGCGTTTTCGAAAGAATTGTGCTGCTGAATAGTGTGTTTAGGTGCTAAATTTAGATTTTCGCAATTTAATTATTATGATGAGTGGGAATTTACGCAAAATCTTTAGTGAATGGTTATTGTTTATCGTCGTAGCGTATTTGAGGAAAGAGGAGAATAATTCACTGCTGATGTATATTTAAGGAATGAGCTGAGAGCATGAAAAATTTTAATGTATTTTTGAAAAAATATACGACAGTTCCTGAGAAGGATTTACAGGCATCCTTAAAAGTTTCATATTTAATTGCAAAAAATTTAAAACCTCATACAATTGGAGAATTTTCTGTTATATAAGCATTGAAAGTGGATTTCTCACTGAAATAGAAATAATTTTGCTATTAAATTAACATGGAGAACTTTTTTTATTGAAATATTTTTTCTCTGTGACCATTAGTTGCATCTACTTACAAACTAAAGATTAAAGAACTGTTTTGTAAAACATTTTCGAATTCATTGTCATATTGATCTATGAAGCACTAGATTAGTCAGTTTTTTTTTTATTACATTATTGACAAATAATAGTTTTTCAAACAATCCAAAAAATTTTCAGCGGAGATAATTATTTGTCAAATATAAATGTGTTTTCAAGAGAGAAATAAATAATAAGTGATAAAAAGAAAATTCAGTTAGAACATTCACATCTCTAACAAAGTAATTTGCTTTGATTTAATCTTTATAATACAATATATTTTACAATGATAAGGCAAAATCCAATGTGAAAAGTTATGCGAAGATTACGATAGTACATAGAGTACTCAGAATTTCGTATAATCCTATAACCAGATAATAATAACATTAAATAAATTTTATCTGAATGAAGATGAAATTTTCTTATTACAGAAACAGTAAAATTATGCAATTACATAAACGAATGCACTTTCAGACAATATACTTAATACTATTTACAAGTGCAAGCCAAATTTCTGTTTATGTTACTTCGTTCTTCAGCGCATGCTCAAGTATTACCATCCAGGCGAAACTAGTCGATTTGTCCATGACGTCAAAAATTTGAAAAGTGGGGGTAGGGTTTGGAAATACGCCTGCGGTACTTCTCTTTATAAAACTGAACCGCAATTTAAAGGGGGGAAATTTAGAATTCCTAACGTTTTAGTTTAACAACAAGCAGACTTTGCAATACTCTATTTCCCTAGAAATACGAACTCATAAGAGCATGAGGCATTCAAGTAAAGTCCATTCACTCACATGCGAAAACCTTCCTTTCCCTTTAAGAAAATCAATAAATTTGGGGGAGTTTGTTTAGGAACGCGTAAATTTCTCGCCATGCCATCGTATCTAGTGTATTGTTATCGATGCTTACAGTTAGTTATCCTCGCAGGAAGGAAAATTTGTGTTCTTAAATGTGCCTTAAGTGACAGCGAGTACAGTAAGAGTGAAACACTCAGATAAACTGCTGAAGCACGTCCTATACATCGTCTTCCCACAGTATCCACTAATGGGGGGAAGTATAACCAGCAAATTTACATTCATCCTTAGGAGTCAAATTCAGGACTCATTTTACCCCTTACACACATCTGCTTCATGGCTATAATTATATCAACAGAGATCCGCGGTCAAAGAAAACGTTCTCTCTCACTAAGATTCCCCTCATTTTTTGTTTCCACCCACTTATACCCTCATTCTGTTTTGCTCTGGAATTTTCATCAGCTATACCTTAAGTATATTTAATTTTTTTGTGACGATAAAAGAACTCCCCCCCCCCTACGATCAGAGCTTAAAATGGGCCGGCCCACCGAGTTCCGGCTCCGGTGCTTCTTAGTTTCTGTAATAAATCATAATTCTAGCCGGAACGCACCGGAGCCCTGAATAAGAAGTCTACGGCACTTCTTTTATATAATTGAATAACAATTTCTAGAAATTTTATTTTAACTATAAAATTATATTAAAAATTGCGTATTAAATTTCAGTTTATTCTTTCTTTTACATTTTATTTTTTAATGATTTAATAATTTAATTACTTTAATCTTTAATTATGTCAATAAATAATAATTATTTAATAATTACCAATTAAATTATAATTAATTATATATAATTATTGATTAAATAAAAATTTATAAACATTAATTAAATAGCTATCAATTAATTTGATAATTAATGAGTTTAATAGTCATTTTATTTATTTATTTACTCTTGTTCCTCTTTGCTGGCAGTCTTCCATAGGGCTCCTGCACTTCTAATCTTAGAAATTAAGACCTGCACTAGTAGATATTGTTGTAGTGATGCTGTTAGTCATGGATGTGAAGTTTGGTCATTGATTGTGCTTGCCTGCTATGGCAATATACTGATCTTCAGAAGGGGTGGTAACCTTCTGAAACATGGTACTTGTTTGGAATATTTTCCGTATTCAAGAAATTACCGAATGATCAATGCCAAAGAAAAGAATGACAACTTCGATTGACTGTCATGCTTCAATGTGTCCAGCAAGTCAGCGCTCACTATCTGCCATCTATCAATTTTAAATCATAGAAATATGAATATTATCAAGAATTATCCTACAAAATTTATAAACAATTTGTATTAACATTTAAATTAACCTCCTTAAACTCTTCAGAATGCTGTTATCTTCAATGACTGTGTAATGATCAAATGTTCAGACAGTCAATCGTAATTGGCTGTAACATATGATATTTACATCCACAGTGATTTTCAGTCATTCAGATTTACCTGTGCTTTTGAAAATTGCACTGCATGCTTATATGCTGTTACTAATCTCTGAAGTGATCTAGTCTGGTTAAACCAAATACATGAGTCTAAATACCTCCAAAATGTCTTAAAAGAACTGCTTAACTTTTGGAAGCCAGTGTAAAAGGATTATATAATTATAGATCTCTTAAATGTTAGACTCATGGTTTTAAATTCAGGTATCAATCACATATGTTAGACTTTCATACCATAATTATTTTCATTCATCAGTGTCTTCCACAGTTCTTTTGTTTGAATACATAGAAAAATCTATCCTTATATAGTCAATTGCCTAAGATATTGTTTTTTCGAAACTTTATGTTGCTATAGACAGCTATGCTTATTAAATTTTTAAAAGATACTTTTTACGTTAGTAAGATTGTGTTAATTTAAAAACATTATATTCTGGTTACTTTTTGTAAAAAATGCTTAAATTAAAAATTTTGTATTTTATGAAATATAATTTTATATAGTCCTTAACCCATTAGCCGCTGGTGTTGCGTTCACGCAACGGTCAAAATAAATGGGTATATAAATATAACTACCTAAGATATTTTATACCAGCAGGATTTTGTGTAGGGAATATTATGAAGATTATTTCTGTAAAAAAATATTTGCCTTCAACAATCATTTTGTTTATAATAATTAATCTCATACTTTAAGCAAAATTTTTGACCGGGTATTTTTGCTGAAAATATTTAACGAAAGAATTGCCGTCTTTATGAGTGATCTATTTTTAG